GGTCAGTGTGGTCCACTGTGCCGCCTGGGACGGTCTCTCTCACCTCTAGTCCTCACACTTGTTTCTCGCTAACAGGTCAGTCACCGTCACGTGTTACATAATAAGGGAAAATAAATGTTTTAGAAAGGCTGGGTCCAAGAGTTAATAACTCGATTCTGCAGGCACAAATAATAAATCAGCAGACTTACGTCTGTTCTATATAACCAGTGTTCGAGGTACCTTTTTTTGCAGTGTCATTAGTGTATGTTTACAAAGGTGAAATGCAAGACCACAGGGCTAACGCTACTCAAGGGGGCCTGACGGCTGAGTGGACAGAGCTCGAGACTCGTAATCCTAGGGTACGGGGATCGATCCCCGGCGATGGCGGAAACAAATGGGAAGAATTTTTTTCATCCTGAAAAAAGTGATGTACTTGTTCGCTTAAGAGTAAATAGGTACCTGGGAGTTAGACAGCTGTTACGGGCTGCTTCCTGGGTGTGTGTGTGTGTGCAGGGAGGGGGGGGATAATAAAAAAAAATAATAATTTAATTGATTGACAGTTGAAAGGCGGGCCGAAAGAGCCAGAGCTTAACCCCCACAAGCACAACTAGGTGAATACAATTAGGTATCGACGTCAGACCCCCAACCTACATACATTAAATATTGCTGTAAATAATGAATTTAAAAATTAAAAAGTCCACTAATGAATGTCAACCCACAAACTCACACTAAACATAGAAAAGACCGACTACATCTTATTTGGAAGCAAATCAACAAATACAATTCAGCTTCAGATAGACAATGTTAACATCAGCACTAAAATTATGGAAAGTTCCTTGGCCTATACTTATGTACTCTCATAAACCCAATGTACTTTGTATATATATAAATAAATAAAAAATAAAAAATGAATACTGCAGACCATACATGACTGAGGTGATCTCATCGAAACCTACTACTACTACTCCGGGCTACTCATGCCCGTGCCACCTCTTGGGTGGCTTCATCAATCAATCGAAACCTTAAAATGCTGAATAATTTGGAGGATATTGATCCAGACGACTTCCTTAATAGGTCAGATGTAACACAAGAGGCAACATCTTCAAGCTCAACAAGCAACAATGTAGGACAGAAAACAGGCGATGCCTTTCTCATAAACCTACGGAAAAAGAAACCGCTGAATCATTCCTCCAGTTCAAAATCAAACTGGATAAAATCATCACGAAAAACGGGGGTGCCCGTTGACAAGTCGTCGGCTTCCTGTCTCTGTCGAGGCCACTAGAGATAGTGACCTCAGGCAAATTTTGTTCTCAGATAAATCCTGTATGATATGTGCAGTTTTGCAAAAACGTTTTTTTCCCTCCTAATGACTGCAAGTGATGGTGTTGGCAGACGCAGAAAGGAATGCAATTTCCCAGAATACAACCCGACAGCAGTTGCATATCTTCCAGTACCTATTTACTGGTAAGTGAAAGCAAAGTGCCGAACAATATTTTTACCATCAGGGTTTCGAACCCAGGATTTCTGTCAGCGAAAGCGAATCCAACAGTACTTCGTCGATGTTCTATTAATGGTTGGCGATGATGATTGATATATTTATAGCCGGCGGTGAAGATCAGTGTTGTATTTACCTGAGGGCCCACTAACACTAGTGGCTTCGGCGAGGGGAGGAAGCCAGCGGCTTGTCAAAGGTCCCTCTATTTGTACTGATAATTTTTTCCAACTGGATTTTAACATTTAACATAGTTTTAGCATTTATGGCTTCTACGGGTAAGTAGATTATAACCCTGATGGTGACAATGCATTTCCTTTCGTCCTCTGTGTTTGCATTGTTTTTAGCCATGAGGCCCTCTACTGTTCCTGGTACGAGAGTTGACTTAGTTCTGGAATGAATTTTGTCGCCTGGTGTTGAACGTTGTACAAAACAGCTATGTCCTGAAGATGACGTCTCCATGCTTGGATTCAATAGTCCAAGTGGAAGCGCATCAGGAATTTTACATTTGAATAAATACCTTCTTTTCCTTAAAATCAAAGGTACGCTTGATTACACATAGGGTTTAGTTATATATATTTATTTCACCGCTACTCCTACCGGCTGTGCAACTTTCAGTGAATGGTGGATCCTAACTCCAAGGTTCTTTCCTGGTTTGTGATGTCTGGTTTGCAGTGTTGTTACCCCCTGTGACCTTCAACTGTTCCTGGTATGGGAGAATTGACTTAGCTCTGGAATGATTTTGTTGCCATTGTGACACAATGTAGCAATTATATTATGAGTAATGTAATCGTTCCAAATTCTCAGAAGTTTTTGTGCAGGACTGTTAATTCCACATAGCATACTCCTACGAATTCTCTGTTCCAGATAACTCTACATTAATCCTAGGTCTACTAATCACAATTAATCTCTCTTCACAGGCATCACCAAGGACTCCGTGAGATAACCTAATAAATGTTGGTCAATTTGGCAAAGTCAGGAGAAGCTTGTAATACAAGTCATCAATTCACGGATCGTAATCTTACAGGCTATTCATGTCGTGCCACCTCTTGGGTGGCTTAATCTATATCAGTCGGATCGTAATCAAATTCGAATAGTGGTTCAGTACCGACTCTCGAGAGATACCACAGATCTTTATCACCGTCGTTCATTCATCAGCGTGCATCATTACACCGGAGCGAATGGCGGCTTGATGGAGAGGGTACTTGAATCCGAATCCGAATATATACAGGACAAGACACCCATTCGGGAGAGCATTGAAGTGAGTAAGTATATTAACCTGGGTACCTACAGTTTATTTACATAAATAATATACCGAAAATCCTATGGAGTAATTTAGTAAAGCGATTGGAACCTAACATAACATAAAGGCCAAGATATGAGTTTAAGACGAAGGAAGACCCGGTCGGGGTCCGAATTCGGCTCAAAAATCACGCTCAGGGGTCAAATTTCCAACATTTCAGATATTTTGAAAACTGCAGGGGGGGTTTGGGCAAAATATGACCCATCGCCGTTTTCAGTAATTGGCATATTTTCGGTATAAAAATTCGTAATTTGAAAATGAAAATAGGTGCAGAGAGTCAGAATTCGGCTCAAAAATCACGCTCAGGAGTCAAATTTCCGACATTTCAGATATTTTGAAAACTGCAGGGGGGTTTGGGCAAAATATGACCCATCGCCGTTTTCAGTAATTGGCATATTTTTGGTATAAAAAGTCGTAATTTGAAAATGGAAATAGGTGCAGAAAGTCAGGATTTGGCTCAAAAATCACGCTCAGGAGTCAAATTTCCGACATTTCAGATATTTTGAAAATTGCAGGGGGGTCTGGGAAAAATATGACCCATCGCCGTTTTCAGTAATTGGCATATTTTCGGTATAAAAAGTCGTAATTTGAAAATGAAAATAGGTGCAGAGAGTCAGAATTCGGCTCAAAAATCACGCTCAGGAGTCAAATTTCGGACATTTACGATATTTTGAAAACTGCAGGGGGGGTTTGGGCAAAATATGACCCATCGCCGTTTTCAGTAATTGGCATATTTTCGGTGTAAAAAGTAGTAATTTGAAAATGAAAATAGGTGCAGAGAGTCAGAATTCGGCTCAAAAATCACGCTCAGGAGTCAAATTTCGGACATTTACGATATTTTGAAAACTGCAGGGGGGTTTGGGCAAAATATGACCCATCGCCGTTTTCAGTAATTGGCATATTTTCCGTATAAAAATTCGTAATATGAAAATGAAAATAGGTGCAGAGAGTCAGAATTCGGCTCAAAAATCACACTCAGGAGTCAAATTTCCGACATGTCAGATATTTTGAAAACTGCAGGGGGGGTTTGGGCAAAATGTGACCCATCGCCGTTTTCAGTAATTGGCATATTTTCGGTATAAAAAGTCGCAATTTGAAAATGAAAATAGGTGCAGAGTCAGAATTCGGCTCAAAAATCACGCTCAGGAGTCAAATTTCCGACATTTACGATATTTTGAAAACTGCAGGGGGGTTTGGGCAAAATGTGACCCATCGCCGTTTTCAGTAATTGGCATATTTTCGGTATAAAAAGTCGCAATTTGAAAATGAAAATAGGTGCAGAGTCAGAATTCGGCTCAAAAACCACACCCAGGAGTCAAATTTCCGACATTTCAGATATTTTGAAAACTGCAGGGGGGTTTGGGCAAAATATGACCCATCGCCGTTTTCAGTAATTGGCATATTTTCGGTGTAAAAAGTCGTAATTTGAAAATGAAAATAGGTGCAGAGAGTCAGAATTCGGCTCAAAAATCACGCTCAGGAGTCAAATTTCGGACATTTACGATATTTTGAAAACTGCAGGGGGGGTTTGGGCAAAATATGACCCATCGCCGTTTTCAGTAATTGGCATATTTTCGGTGTAAAAAGTAGTAATTTGAAAATGAAAATAGGTGCAGAGAGTCAGAATTCGGCTCAAAAATCACGCTCAGGAGTCAAATTTCGGACATTTACGATATTTTGAAAACTGCAGGGGGGTTTGGGCAAAATATGACCCATCGCCGTTTTCAGTAATTGGCATATTTTCCGTATAAAAATTCGTAATATGAAAATGAAAATAGGTGCAGAGGGTCAGAATTCGGCTCAAAAATCACGCTCAGGAGTCAAATTTCCGACATTTCAGATATTTTGAAAACTGCAGGGGGGGTTTGGGCAAAATGTGACCCATCGCCGTTTTCAGTAATTGGCATATTTTCGGTATAAAAAGTCGTAATTTGAAAATGGAGATAGGTGCAGAGAATCAGAATTCGGCTCGAAAATCACGCTCAAGAGTCAAATTTCCGACATTTCAGATATTTTGAAAACTGCAGGGGGGTTTGGGCAAAATATGACCCTTCGCCGTTTTCAGTAATTGGCATATTTTCGGTGTAAGAAGTCGTATATCTTAATAGATTACTTTGAAACCCGTATCAGTCAATAAACAAAAAATTGGGATACTCGTATTACAAATTCGCTACTTTTAGACCGTCAGCTCGCTACTTTTAGCAATTTGAATCTGGCAACCCTGGGTCGGGAGGGTAAATAGGAGCAAGGAGTTGAGAATGGCTGACTCACTGACCATGCGCTGGCTTAATTAGTGGGGCTGCCTCGCTCTGCTTCCTTTACTAGCACGCAGAGGAGGCAGCCCTGTAAGTTGCCTTCCTCTTTCTTGCCCAGAAATGTGGCAACTGCGTCACTATTGGGTCTTGTAGCTTATTTCATCTTTTACTACTGTATTGTTTACCATTTTATCTTTAAGTAATTTGTATGTAAATTATTTTAAGTCATCAAGATTGTAACTTGCTTAGCTAAATGAATTGTGAGGACCAGTCCCTGAGCCCATTATGTGCCTCTGTAACCCTTTCCACTACCGCCCACAAGATGGGTATGGGGTGCATAATAAATGAACTAAACTAAACTAACTAAGTTTTGCCTGAAACGCTTTAGTAATAATGGTATCATTTGTATGTGTAACCTCCTGAACCTCCAATTGTCCCTTCATCTTCTAATATAATAATAATTTATTGTGTCGGGGGACAGGCAGCCAGTATATACATGTATAGGCTTATACCAAGGTCCCATCACCCCCAGGGTCGAATTAAGTCGAGAACAAACCTGACTGTACTGTACTACAAAGACCCTAATTAGGGCCCTGGTAAGGATTTATATTCTTTGTACACACATTCTTAAGAATAAAAATTAATATTATTATTATTATTATTATTATTATTATTATTATTATTACCAGTACTGTATTATTATAATCTATATCTGCAGCTCGACTGAGGGTACTGAGGTTCAACCCCTGGCAAAAAAGAAATGGTTTTATATATTTCCTTTTACCTGATATCTCTGTTCACTTAGCTGTTAACCTATACACCAGTTGATTGACAGTTGAGAGACGGGACCAAAGAGCCAAAGCTCAAGCACAACTAGGTGAGTACAGTACTGGTATGTACCCAAGAGTTTGGCAATTGTGACTTGTGTCCTGGGGATCGTCAGTAGTTGGCCTCTAGGGACCTTGTTAAACTTAAGCCTAAGTCTTCCTGTCCCTGACATCGGAAATTATTATGGATTGATTTCCCTTTTCTTCATTAATCTGCTGCATGTTGGTGATTTGATAGTTGTGATATACATTGTTATACCCTATATGCAAAGCCTTGTGGACTTCATGTAGATTTCTTTTTAAGGACGCGATACAATTTTCGCTTCGTACTTTACCATAAATCTTGGTTTCATCTGCAAATTTTATAATATGGTTTGTAATATTCTCATCTATGTCATTGATGTATACAACAAAAAGGGTTGACCCCAAGATGGTACCTTGCGGTAGCCCACTTACCACATTTCTTCACTCGGATTCATTTCCATTTATGATGACCCTATGCTTTCTTTGTTTAAGCCATGGTCTTATCCATTTTAGTACATTGCCATTTATATCATATGCTTGTGATGAGTAGTAGCAATGACATTAAATGGCATAAATTTTTGGTTCTATCATATACTGTATTGTAGTTTGATAGCCACAGAAATGTTGATGTATCTAAGATTGTTAATGAAGTAAAAGAAGGGTTTATGTACCACCCCATTTGGGAAAGTTTCCTTGTTAGAAACTCCCAGTTTGAATAATGAACCCTTGCCTTACATAAACTAAGAATGTCTATATTGGATGTAGACCCATGGCCTGTACTATGCTTTGTAGATAAAGTATAGAATAGGATGACAACTGGTAATGCAGGAGCACAGCAATGATCATGTTTTTCTTGTATCAAGTACATTATTTAAGGTCCTGACAGCATAATGGTTGATGCCATTGGTACACAACAGAAAGATCCCAGGTTCAGTCCCAGGAGCATGACAGAAACATTTGGAGAAACATTCCATTTCACCTAACAGTAAAAAAATACTGTACCTGGAAATTAGTCAACTATTGTGGGTTTCTTCTTGGGAAATGTCAGCAGATGATCTATGGGGACCTTGATAAGCCTAACAGTCTTCCTGCCCATGATTATGGGAATGGTAAACAACATATCAGTGTCCAGTAGGTACAGTATGTGTCTCTTCACACCCAATATGGTGTGCTGGCAGAGTATAAAACCCACCTAATCTAACTCAGTCCACCCAACCCATCCTAACCTAACATAACCTAGCCCAGCCTAACCCAATGATATACTGTATACAGTTTTCATAATTAAATGCAAACTTTGCTGAAATGCCTGTGTACGATTTGACCATACTCCTTTGCAAATAATGCAGCACCCTTCAACCAATAAACAGTATTCACAATCCTTGGGCTAATTAAGGATTTCTTATTCAGATTTTTCTCAAATTACCCAAAAAGGTTCTTGGAGTTTTCCAGTATTGTATAGCCAAAGCTGATGTAGCTAAAACTAATCAGTGTTATCAACACTAATAAGTGAGGACATTTTCTGGACTCACTGCTGTGTTCTTTGGATCAAATCATTGGGCATTGTACAAAATCATTGTTTATTTTAATATACTGTACTGTAATTTTAAAAGTTACATTATAAACCTATCACAAAGTCAGTTGCAAAGTTTAGTTTAATACTGGAAATAGAACTGCCTAACCAATCCTAGCTTTCTGAATCCAAAATAAGTGTCTAATTACTTGTAAAGTCTGTATTTTTTTTGGCCAGTGCTGTTGTATCAATCTTTAATTAATGTACCAGTACTGTATTCTACTTCAGGTTATGGCAAAATGTCTGGAGAGGATCTTCATATGATAGGAATATCAGTGGCTAGTGCCCCTGAAGATGATGCTGGAACAGAAAAAGAAATTCAGAAACCATTGAACAGTGCCATCAAGAGTACATCTACTGACCACATAAACACTCCCAGAGAAATTTACAGAAAGCTGGAGGACTCTGGAAAAGATGATGCAGAGTATACTACTACCAAAGTTAATAATATTGCTGAAGCATATGGTGAGAAATATTTTGGAATAAGATTTTTAAATTCTGTACAATATTAAGTCTATAAACTTGTTTTGCCTATACAGTATTCTAAATGTTACATGATCTAAGTTCAATATTGTATTTCTAACTTATTGAATTGACAATTTAAAATCTTGAAGAGATAAGAAATTCAGTCATGGAGATTTCTTGAAAGCTTGATGATAGCTATTTATTTATTTTTATTTATATATTTATTTATTTATTTATTTATTTATTTATTTATATACAAGAAGGTACATTGGAGGTTAAGAGAGAACATAGAAATGAAGTTCATTTTACATTCTTGTAAAGCCACTAGCACGCATAGTGTTTCGGGCAATTTAAAATCTGGAAGTCTGTAACTGAAGCATGGAAGTTAAAAAAGGAAGTAGTAACTGAATGTAGTATTGTATTAATTTATTTATTTTTATTTATTTTATTTTTAATCATTTAAACATTTACAAACATATTCAATTTGTTTTGTAACAATTTTATGTGTAAATGCTACATTTGTGCTAAACCACATAAGACATTGTTTTGGATAGGTTTTAAAACTAAGAAAATAGTTGTGGTATAAAGGAAGGCAGTTGGTCAGCCACCCAAAATTTGGCTTTTTGATGGTCAGTTTTGGACAAATCAGGCTGGTCCATGTTCCTTTTTGTAGTCCTTGACTTTTCTTCTGGTGAATGTGCCTGTATAGTGGGCTCAACAATTCCTGTTCATTGGTTTGCCACCTATTTTTTCCTATTTTTCAGAAAAATCTGATGAAAATGGAAGTGGAAACTATTGCCAGAGATGCTGTTCGGCAACTTTCAAAGTGTATGTCTCGCATTTCCTCTCGTCTTGGGGAGATCGCATGTGGATGTTTGCTGGTGGTCTTTTCCTCCTTGAAGTATGTGTGTTGCTCTGTACAGTACTTTGCTATTAAAACCAGAAACAAAAGAATATATATATGATACAGCAGTGCTGTATTGCAGTTTTGTAGGCCTGCTTGCCCTTAATCCCCTAAAGCTGGTTTTTGTCATTTTTGGTGACCTCTAACTTATAAGTTTTCTTCAAATTTATTCATTCTTCGATTTAGCTATAATGCTAATCTAATCTGTATGCACAGACCAGTTCATTGAATCTTCCTCATTTTGTACTGGGGAGAAATGAATTTTCATTTCTTGTTGCTTGATGAAATTAAATATAGTATGTGAAATCTGTTTTGTGGAAATTATTACTACTACATTTCAGTTAAAAGATGTAGAGTAATTATTTAAGGTCTATGATCCTCAGCAACTTATTAAGATACTGTACTTACTGGTTCTTTAAGTGGATTAAAAATGTGTTTAATAACTTTTGGTAAGAATTATATGGTATGAATTTCAAAAGTAGTTTATGAATACAATTACAAATCAAAAACTTCAAAAATGGTTGTACATTTGCAAATGAGTTAAAAACATGGTATATGCTAGTAAAACTGAAAGAAAAATTGTTACATTATGATATTTTAGATCACTCCAGGATCCTTGCGCCTTGCTGCAGTGTATGGGGCAGCTCTTGCACTAACAATCATAATTTTGGGTTCTCCAGTTGGTCGTTGGGTGGACCGCACATCAAGGCTAACCGGTAAGTTTAATGTTTCTCAGTTCCACCACTTAAAAGATGTTTGAAAGAATATTCATTGTTAGATATGTACTCTGGCTCTTAGGGCTCCTACCTCCAAGCTATTGTATTTTGTGCATTTTTTTAGTATGACTTGCAGAGCCATCTATTGTTGTAAGAGCTAACACTTCATAATCTGCTCCACAATGCTGGCCACTACATTCTAATACATAATTATAAACTTCACATTTAAAATGTCAGGAGTTTAGAAGTTTATGATTTAACCTTCTTAAGATTAAATTAACTCTTTTGCTGCCACACCTTAGTTTCAGCCCTTGTTCCCATTTTTGGGAAAAAATCAAATGCTGAATGTAATGAAATGACCTTTCTGGTGGACTAATCAATAACTTCCAGAGCTATAGCACTGGGAGTGTCAAGCCTTAAGGAATTGCACAAGTCCTGAAATCCACCTGAGCCTGTCAAGAACCAGGACAAGAATCTGGCTCTCTTTACAAGGTAAGGAGGGATTGGAAGTTGGATATCAACACTAAAATGAACAAAAGTCCTGTATAAGTGCATCAAAATAAACAGCATCTTGAAGGAGTTTAAAACCCTAAGGTAAAGAAAACAATCATTGCTGCTGGGTAAATACCTCACCCGTGATGCATCTGGCCACCAGATGGTAGCCTAGGCCACCTAGAGTCCCAGTTTGTCAGCCAACTCATTCAAGTACCTTTTCCCCGACCTGAAACACCACCTAACACTTATGAGAGGAGGGGAATAGGGTTTGTACAGGGAGCTGCCGAGTTACCCACCATAAAAGGGTGTTTCTTTATATTCATTGCCTTATTAGCAGAGACCAGCTTTTCTGGAAAGGAAACAAAGAGAATAATAAAGCAGAATAAAACATAAAAGATAAACTGGACTGACACGAGAGGAGGATTCGGGACCAAACAACTCTGTGCCAAATACAGTACACTGCTCAAGTGTCATGAGGGGAAGGCAGAAGATACTCACCAAGCTCAAACATTGTTTAAAATATATGTACAGTATCACTGTAACTGTGTGTTCTGCGTGAACATGAAACAGGCTTTTAGTTATTATATTTTATGGTACAGTACTATGTGCAGAATCTTATTACTGTAACTTATTTAACCAATATTTTACACTGTAAGGAATTGCATAGTTGTGATGAAAATGTGACCCTGTGAATCTCTTGGCCCACCACATGTACAGTATAGCCTTACTGACCACACTGTTGTCAGGGAACCCTGACCTAAGGTCAAGCTGCAGGACTAGTAAAACTCTCAAGAGCTGACAAGACTTATTGATTCTCCTTCACAGCTGCCCAGCTGAGTTTGAGCTTACAGAACATCATGGTGTGCTGTTGTGCTGCCCTTCTGGTTATCATCACTACACAGCAACACATATTTACTGCTTGGGATGGCTGGTCACTCATTGTTGCTGAGGTGAGTTGCAAGTAACACAGTTATTGGTTTAAGTGCTTTTACAACAATCAATGTTTGAATATTTAGACAACTTGAGGTTATCTTGAGATGATTTCGGGGCTTTTAGTGTCCCCGCGGCCCGGTCCTCGACCAGGCCTCCACCCTCGGGAAGCAGCCCGTGACAGCTGACTAACACCCAGGTACCTATTTTACTGCTAGGTAACAGGGGCATAGGGTGAAAGAAACTTTGCCCATTGTTTTTCGCCGGTGCCTGGGATCGAACCCGGGACCACAGGATCACAAGTCCAGCGTGCTGTCCGCTCGGCCAACCGGCATGCTTCTTTCTGAAAGATTCAAATGATCAGGTGATATTGGTAAGATGCAAATTGATCTGGCTAGAATTATAGTAAGTTTTAAGTTAAACTGGAAGGTAGATTAGTAAATTTAGATTGGCTAGCATATTAGTAGCTTCCAAGCTTTTCTGGGGGTAGCTGGATAACTTTAAATTTGTTGCATAAATTGGTATGTTTTCAAGTTGATTTGGCAGCATTTTTAGCCAGTTTAATATTCAATAATAGAAGTAGATTTGTATTATAGTACATTGTTTTAGATTCAGAGCTACAAATGACAGAGTGTGATAACTTTTAGGTCTTGATACAGCTGGTGGACTACTTATGATTGAAAATACAGCATAGTATACTTAATCACAGGAGGCTGATGTACTTTACCTGTTTTTCAGGGCTTTGTGATACTAACGGCATGTTTAGCATGCATTGGGTCGTTAGGATCAAAACTTTCCATTGAGAAAGACTGGATTATTGTCATCTGTGGCAAAGATAAGAATGAGCTGGCAAGTATGTATGCAATCTTCTTTAATTGTTAATGTTATCTTAAATTTCATATTTCTAATATTATATAAATACATTGGCTGAGCTGCATTAAGGCATCACTTCCAAAGGCATACTGATCCTCTGCACATTATCAGGATTATGGCATAGTCAAGACATGATTCAAACAGTACCAGTGCTATGAGGGCACATATATATCAAATAAGGTCCATGCAAGAACATGTATACATATATATAAATGTGGTGGGAGTCACCGAGTAACAAGCCACCTGGTAAGAATTAAATGTATTTAGAAGTGTTTGTTTTCAAGTTTAAAATAATTAGAGTCCAGTAACGTCACTCATATGACCAAATGGAGCCCTGAATATTCTAACTAGCAACAACCCAAAATATCACCAGTACCCCCTTGACCCCAGCCAGTGGTAGCAGCACCACTGTAAGGCAGAAACCTTACAGTGGTATCTGCCTGTCTGCCCAAGATCACTAACCTAGCATACATTCTGGCTGCTTCTAGCAGGTTGGGTTAAGTTCTTGACCTAAGTGGGACCTTAGTACTATGCTTGAGGAGCAGGTGAATACATGGTTTTCTATATGCAAATCCTGCTAAAGTTTGGAGTTAGTCTTTTGAATCCTTGTTCATATTATGCACCTTTTTATGCAGTCAGCTTTTGTAGAGTTGGAGTGTGTGAGACAACCTCTCTACCTTCACCCTGACCCTACATGAGTGGACTAAAGCCTAGCCTTTGTATTGTTTTGGGTGAACCATAAAATACAATGTTTTGTCGAGCCTTGTCAAATAAATGGGCTCTAAATAATTTATGCTAAGCATAATTCTGTAAGTATAATATGTGTTTATATGTTTTGGTGTTGAAGATTTATGATATATATTCAGTATATGAAATAAAATCTATAATTTCTAAACAATGTGCTTAAATTACACAAGTAACTGGCAATGTCTTCCATTGAAGTAAAATAAAATGTAGATAAAGATGAGAGAATTCAATTATTTTATTATATTATTCTTTCAGAGGTAAACAGTGTATTGAGGACAGTCGACCTTAGTACTGAAGTCCTAGCACCTATAATTGTAGGTGTGATCATGACTGCCTTTGGGATGGCCGTTGGTGGTATAGCAATTGCCAGTTGGAATGTGGGTTCCCTCTTCGTGGAGTATGGCTTGCTGCACCATCTCTTTTATTCTAATGCTGACCTTCAAAAGCCAAAGCTAAAAGTAAGAAAGAAGGCAAAACAAAACAAGGTGCTGTAATACCAGACATAAAAGAAAATGCTGTATGGGGAAAATTCTTATGTCTGTAGCAATTCTCTTGTGAGAAATATTAGTCTTCAAATGAATGTACAGCATTTGTCTCACTCTGTGACTGGTAAAAAATATATTTATAGCTAAAATGAATGTAAAACTTACCATTGAACTGACTTAATCTGTGATTAATTTTAATCTTAGCAAGAATGCTAAATGAGTTCCATTTAAATAGAATACTATAAGTTTTATTTTACAGGAGAGCATATCAAATGCAGAAGAAAATACTGAAGAATCACAGGGTATCGATGAAACGAGCAAATTCAAGAAAATACGTACAGTATTGAGGCGTCTTATGTCAGCATGGGGAGCCTGGCTCGTCTACATGCAGCACCCAGTGAGAGATGCTGGACTTGCTCTTGCTCTTCTGTATATGACAGTTTTAGCTTTTGATAATTATTCTAGAGGTAAGTTTTACATATAATGTATGTTGAACATTTCAGATGGTGGGGGAATCTTTACTAAACACACAATACTGTACTCCCGGTTTGGTGCCTTCTTTTGATAATTACCTTACCTTACAATACTGTACTTATATATATATATACAGTATACACTTTTGTTGCTGAATATTGTCATTCAACATGGGGACATCTTGATCGGAGAAATGGAGTGTTGCATTAGCAGTGTGGGGTTGTATGCTGATGCAAAATAGTCCACATGAGAAACAATATGTTTTGCATACTCCTTGGAAAGGTTTATTATTAAACTGCTACTTTGTTTGGATTAGATAAGATGATAGGGTCTACTCAACAACACAGTTAAAGCCCCTGAATGTGAACAGCTGAGAGAACTAAACCCAGAGAAGGCAGAGGGGGGAAACCAATACAAATTGTTGGAATATGCTAGACCACTGAATGTGGAGAGTTAAGCACTCAGTGCTAACAACATGATCATTAACTCCATGATGTTAAAGTGAACCTATGCTAATGCCAGGGACCAACATCCCTGACCCATCTTGGGCATACCAGGAAAACACATCAAGAAAGTTGTCCTAGAAGCCACCAAGAAACTGAACTTTAAAAACCTATAGAAAAAACTCTTAAAGCAGCAAACTCTGCAAAGCTCGAGGATATTTCACACGGAGATCCATGAGCCAGTGACACACATGCAAGCAAAGAAAACTTTAGAATTCCTTGAGTCAGATTCAACTCGGTGCAAACACCACTGAGACAAAATGGGGTTCTTCTGAAAATGTTCTCAAACATCCAACATATAATGTGGCATGAAGAACAAGGTCAAGTGGTAGCCAAGTCAAACCAAGGAGACTTAGCAGGGGGTGGCTGCCCTTATATTCCACACAAGGTCCAACAAGGCTCTGTGAAGAAAACTGAACTTCCAAAACTCCTCCGATGCTAAATCCTAAAACTTGAGCTATGCTAGAATATGTAAAAATTCAAGATACAGTATATAAATCTGCAAACAGGTTTAGATATAATTTTAAATAATGCCCCTTTAAAATCGATGTTGTATTTTTTCCAGCATTCGTGTATGACTCTGGTGTTCCTGAGAACATCCTTGGTGTTTTGACAGCTGTTGCCTCATTGTTTGGCATTTTTGGCTCTTTAGCATCTCCTATTTTAAGATCTAAGGTTAGTGTTTTTCAGCCATATGCAGAAATATCTTTACAAACTTCACAATATTCAGAGAGAATACACGAGAGAGAAGATTTGAAATTTTATGATTGAAATTTTGAGGGATGTCAATATTTAATGTGAAAGATGGACACAGTAGGTTGTGAATACTGTACTGAGATGCCAGTGTTCCTGCAGGGGAGGAAAACTTGTTGGGTGCAAGAGGGAAAGTATACATGTACAGTATTGAGTACATGTATATTACACGTATACATGAACATTCTTATTACGAGTGTCACCATGTGTTTCAGTATAGAATTGTGAGTGAGTTGACATGAAATATGTAGATAAAACTGGCCATTCTTATTTTCACTTTGTAATATTTAATGTACTTTATGATACATATATTATTTTAACATTTTGTATATTTTATTTACATATATTAAGTGAAATAAAGGTGAATGAAATGGTTGGCTGCCCAGTTCATTTGAGCTGTGACTTCCTGGCATCTGTCTTGGTGTTTTAGTCACTCCTTTTTCTGGTCTTATTTAGTTGGAAGGGGAGGGAGATTTTCTCTGCCCGTCCTGGGCTCTTGGGGTTATCTTGAGGTTATCTTGAGATGATTTCGGGGCTTTTTTTTTTAGTGTCCCCGCGGCCCGGTCCTCGACCAGGCCTCCGCCCCCAGGAAGCAGCCCGTGACAGCTGACTAACACCCAGGTACCTGTTTTACTGCTTTACTGCTAGGTAACAGGGGCATAGGGTGAAAGAAACTCTGCCCATTGTTTCTCGCCGGCGCCTGGGATCGAACCCAGGACCACAAGTCCAGCGTGCTGTCCGCTCGACCGACCGGCTCCCGGTCGGTGGGGGTAGTATTTTCATCTTTGGATGCCTCTTTTTTTTAATTTTCCCCAGAATGGTCTATCTTTGTTGAAATTAGTAATGTCCAGGAAGTTCGTAGTACTGTATATACAATGCTGTAGGGATGCTTGAAAAATTCTTGTGTACCGTATCTGGTGCTTTTTTGTTGTTGTACCCGACTACAAAATCCTGCCTGTGGATACAATGGGATCTTATTTCAGGGAGCAGCCAAATGATTAGCTCAGAAAGGTTTAATTCGTATTAACGCACGGTCATATTTTAGTTTCACTTAAAAAGAAAGGCAGCTTAAGAGACTGTTGATAGTTGTCCTTACCTTAATGGACATTTTCTAAAAGGCATATTATATACAGTGCACATTTGATTTTGGTTAATGTAAGTGCTTTCTATTGTTGTGTGTTAACTACATGTTCTCATTTCTAACAGATAGGTGTTACTAACACAGGATTAGTTGGGTTTGGATCTGAAACTTTGTGTTTGACCCTGTGTGTGGCTTCCGTCTTCGCCCCCGGAAGTCCTTTTGACGTCTCGGCTCTCTTGCGCATTGGTCAGAGCTCAACAGACTTAACAAATTCCACCTTAACCACTCCTCCATATTTCACACTAAATTTAACTACTCCACCAAGTGATATTATTGAGACTGAAATTGTAAGCTTAAATGCAACCAAATGGATAAGAGATGAGTCAAGCACTGGAGCTACAGAAGAGACTGAATACATGTTTGTGATTCTTCTTCTGACTGGCATCATAACTTCAAGATTCGGTGAGTACGTAAAGGAGAGACATTGCTCAGTAAATTGTGTTTTTAGATTTAGGTAGACATACATATGTAGATAGTCTTAGATTTGGATCATTAAGTTTTGTGTGCTTATCTCATGGAAGGCCAAGCTATAATTTAAATTTTTCTCTTCTTTTACCACATCGTGCCAATTGTTGGTTGTTTCTAATTATATACCAATATATATATATATGTCGTACCTAGTAGCCAGAACTCACTTCTCAGCCTACTATGCAAGGCCCGATTTGCCTAATAAGCCAAGTTTTCCTGAATTAATATATTTTCTATAATTTTTTTCTTATGAAATGATAAAGCTGCCCTTTTCACTATGTATGAGGTCAATTTTTTTTTTATTGGAGTTAAAATTAACGTAGATATATGACCGAACCTAACCATCCCTACCTAACCTAACCTAACCTATCTTTATAGGTAAGGTTAGGTTAGTTAGCCAAAAAAAGCTAGGTTAGGTTAGGTAGGTTAGGTAGACGAAAAATCATTAATTCATGAAAACTTGGCTTATTAGGCAAATCAGGCCTTGCATAGTAGGCTCAGAAGTGCGTTCTGGCTACTAGGTACGACATTATATATATATATATATATATATATATATATATATATATATATATATATATATATATATTAATAATAATAATAATAATAATAATAATAATATTTATATTGACTTTCTTAGAGCTTACTCATATCAACATGCAAATGCACACATTTTGATGAGCAACTTATAATAGAAAATCTTTTTGTAATACTGTTTATAGGATTGTGGGTGGCAGATCTGACGGTGACGCAGATCCTACAGGAGGAAGTCGAGGAAGGTCACAGGGGGGCCATTAACGGTGTGCAATCCTCTTTGAATCAGGCACTCAACCTTCTGCGCTCCATCCTTATCATTATCCTTCCCAGAAGAGAAACTTTTGGCTTTCTCGTTATCCTGTCGTTTCTGTTTGTTTCAACTGCGTAAGTTATTTTATACAACGGTCATTTTCATTGCACTTTGTAAAAGTGCAATTTGTTAAAGCTGAAACTAGGTAAATCCTTATTAAACTAGTAGTAAATCTGGTGAATAGACATTCATCAGTAGTTTCAAAGCCTCGTATGACAAAGAATACATACTGGGAAAACAAGACACTATGAGCTTAGCGCACTAATTTTGATTATATTGAATTTTTTCACATTTTCCTAATATATATATAATGAGTTTACCCAGGAGCCACTAACACTAGTGGCCTCACTGAGGACAGGAAGCCAGCAGCTTGTCAAAGGTCCCCAGTTCCCTTGATCTTTTCCAGTTGTACAATACTTTGAAAGTTTGCAGCATTTTGGCCTTTATGGCTTTGCGGGTAGGCGGTTCCATGAGTTAATAACCCTGTGGGTGAAAAAGTATCTCCTGTTCTCATTTCTACATTGTGGCTTGTTGAGCTTGAAACCATTTCTCCTTGTTTGTGTTACATCTGACCTTTTGAAGAAATTTTCCAGATCAATGTCCTCCAAATTGTTCAGTATATTAAGTTTCAATAAGATCCGCCCTGTCATGCCTAGTTTGCAGTGTTAGCCTGGTGGCCCTGAACTGTTCCTGATACACGAGTTGACTTGGCTCTGGAATTATTTATTTTGCCCAGTGTTATTTGTTTACATTTATTCAGGTATAACTATATTGCACATCCAAAGTTGAATAATAAAGATTATAATTTGGTACAGGTGGATATTGTTTGCAGCATATGCTCGCAGACATTCAACATCGACTCCAATGGACGCTGTAATTACCCCTGAAGCAGAAGAGCTCACACCTGCTACAGTATAGATACCTCATAGGTTTGTATTTTGATATTGTGATATTACTGAAGTTTCCAAGTCAATATTTTAAAGCATTAAAATACTTTGTGAAGGGTGAGTGAATGCAGTTTACTTGGAGAAAGTAACCATTGAAAATAATGTATATGTTAACTCGTGCAGAATACTGTACATTACACTTGATCTGTGATGGGACTGGGATATTTCTGTGGATGGTTTACTGGTGGATGTGTACTCACCTATTATGTCTAGTAATAGGCTGGGTGTGTTTGTGTGTGTGTATTATCTCTGATATTTTTGTAATGCTGAACAAACTACACTTTTTCAGATGATGGCGTATGCTCATTCCTTATCAATTATTTTAACCTGGAAAGAGGAAATGCATCCTTTTTTCTAATATCATTTTTAAAGCCAATATCTCAGTGCAATATATTATAATTCAAGTGTCTTCTTTGAGGAACATAATGTTCTGAGTTTGACATTTGCTCTTATTTAGAGTTGGCTTGAAACTGATAGCTGTAAAGTTTTTAACCACTGAACCTTCACGAGATAAAGCATCATCTCGTATATTGTACCTGTACATGTAATTTTCATTATCTGCCGATGTAGACCTGACCAAATGTAATGTAAACTGTGTCGACAAAATTATTCGCACACCCTCCATCACTATGTGATGGACTAGCTCATCAAGATTGTAACTTGCTTAGCTAAATGAATTGTGGGGTTCAGTCCCTGAGCCCATTATGTGTGTCTGTAACTGTTTCCACTACCTCCCACAAGATAGGTATGGGGTGCATAATAAATGAACTAAACTAACTACTGTATGTACATGTAAATATATATCGAGATAAAACATTTGTAACTAGATTTAATGCTATTAAAACAGTAAAGGGACCTTTTACTAGTCTGGTTGCACAGTGCTAATAATGTACATGCCCTGTGTCTCACAAGTGATTTGGTCTGGGTTCAAGTCCTGGCCGGGGAGGATTGACTAGGTGTCAATCCTTAACTATTTACTTTTGTTTACTCAGCAATAATTGGGTACCTGATTGTTAACCAATTGGTGGGTTGTGTTCCTGGGAAAACTGGTGGGTTAAGGCTTACCATGTGCTATGGTAAGGGAAAGCTCTCAGCCTGCTAACAAGAGCCAGAATTTGTCTGTTCCTGTACCCTCCTGTGTACAAAAAAAAGTAAAATTTATACATTTTATTTAGTAAATCTTAAAAAATTTAACTGTGATGAGCTCAATTAAATATTGAATATTTATATTTGTCAGTTCGTGGTTCTAAATGGGGGAAGAGTTGCTGGAAAACGTTTGGTAATCTAAAATGTGTAGTACAATATAGTTAAGAACCTCATGGGACATAGGACGAGTCCCAAGACTAAGAACTGCATTACAGTGCTGTACATAATTACAGTACATAAATAATAAAAAAACTTATTTATATACAAGAAGGTATGTTGGGTTTATGAGTGCACATACTGTAGCATTAAATGTTTATACATTCTTGTAAAACCACTTGCATGCGTAGCATTTTGGGTAGGTCGTTAATCTATCAGATAATTTTAAGTAGGTAATTTCTAGCAAAATTGAAAAAATGTTTACAGATACATAATAAGAAAATTTTACAAAGCTTAGTACGTACGTTAATGTAAAATTTGAAGGTTATCAACAGGTACATTGTAGCATATTTTTGAGGATTATTTAAAGGTATAATGTAATAAAATATGCATTCAATATAACAATATAGCTGCAGTTTAAGCAGTAAAGTACACATACTGTACAGTACTGTATATGTAAAGTAAAATATGAGGTTAATAACCAAAATGCAAAATAGCAAAATAGCACACAATTTTATTGTAACCATAATACAGCCGAGTACAGTATATGGAAAGATTAGTTAAACATGAGGAACAGAGTGAAGAACTTGTAAACAAATTTAACCAAATGTAAAAAATTAGGACTTTGAGCAGTGAAAAAACTTAATTTCATATAGAAGCAACCTGCACTAAATCCTTGCACAGAGTACCAGGTGATTTAATATACTGTATGTACTTAAGTACTATAACCATTCTTACTGTACATTAGTTGTGGTAATCCTCACTCCATGAATTGTTGGAAATGTGGTAATGATGATTTTTAAATGTTTCTGAACACCGAGAAGCTGACCAAACACAGGGTGTTGTGTACAATATATTTATGACTCATTTGCAAAGTATAAAATAATAATTGAAGTAATTATTTACAGTACTGTAAATAGTACAGTACAGTATTTTCTAAAAAGAGCTATTTTAATCATTAATTGTATGATACAGTACTATTTTCTGATACTACAGTACTTTTATTTTCAGAGGCATATTGTAAACCTGAGTAATTATATAAATTTATAGCATCATATTTTTGTAATAAATGTTTATAATGTTTATCGAGATTTTTAATTTAACCAGAGTACTTAATTAAATAAAACATGTCCAAATAAAATTGTATTTAAACTATTCAAAATTTACATTTATTACATTTAATAAACAATAATTTATTATAATATATACAATTATAATATATAATTATAATTACAATTATAATATTTAATAATTACAATTATTTAAAAAATTAATACGTATATGATAAGATTTAGAATTAAAAGCTGTGTATCTATCACTAGACTACTATTCCTTTGGTATCCCTAGTAAGTATACCTTATAATTTTTTCATGTTATTGTTTCCTAAGCCAGGACCACTCAACCACTTCCCTAAACAAGCTATTGGCTGCTCCCATTAGAGCATAAATTCAGACTGGGTCAGTATGACTTGTCAACTCATCCCAGAACCAAATTGAATGTTATGCCTGTAAAGGTTGAGAGCCTTGGAACTAATGTTACAAACCAGACACAACGGAGCTAATTTTGAAACCTATAAATAGAAACAAATTGGGAAACTAATCCAGATCACATCTTTGGAAGGTCCAATATCTCTCTCATAAGGGGCAACAGCTTAGCTTCAAGGTCATCATGCCACAATGTAGAACAGACAACAGAAGATGCTTTTTCACCCTTAAAGTAAATACACCCATGAAATTGCATGCCAGGTGACAGTACTTCACTTCAAATACACAGGTTTCCTGTCTGTCAAACCTACCGGAGATTGTGACCTTCAGGTAAATAAATGATTATAACTGCATAATTATTAATACAGTATTATTTTTGTTATTGTTATAGCCTGTGAGACATGGGGGCAGCATTCAAGTGATGTAATGCTGTTCAAGAACGGAACCCAATATTCAGTTCGTTCAGCAAATTAGTGATGTTCAACATTTTTTTTTTTTGAGATACTGTATATACAAGAGTTATTACATTCTTGTACAGCCACTAGTACGCTTAGCGTTTTGGGCAGGTCCCTGGAATACGATCCCCACCGCGAAGAATCATTGTTACAACCAAGTACCCATTTTACTGTTGAGTTAAACAGAGGCTACAGTTAAGGATTTGCGCCCAGTAAATCCTCCCCGGCCAGGATACGAACCCATGACAAAGCGCTTGCGGAACGCCAGGTGAGTGTCTTACCACTACACCACAGAGACTGATTTATTATCTATTACTATATTTTCATGCAAGGAAAGCCTCTATATAATAAAGTTAAGCTTTTAATAAAGCTAAGATCTATGGTAAAGTGGAAATGACAAAACTGCTGGTGTTTATAATACAGCTGGAAAAGATAATCAGTGGCAAATGGGGGGACCTTTGACAAGCCACCGGCTTCCTGTCCTCGTCGAGACCACTAGTATTAATGGCCCTCAGGTAAATTCAGCTTATAGTGGGGTTGTATCCTGGGTCAGTAATTCGACACAGCACCTATTATAATTAACCATCAGATTGCCTTCAGTTACCTGCCATGTATAATGATATCCCAGTAGCTGTCTTTAATAGTAATGACATCCCAGTAGCTGCCTTAATAGTAATGATATCCCAGTAGCTGCCATTAATAGTACTGATATCCCAGTATCTGTCATTAATAGTAATGATATCCCAGTAGCTGTCATTAATAGTAATGATATCCCAGTAGCTGCCATTAATAGTAATGATATCCCAGTAGCTGCCATTAATAGTGATGATATCCCAGTAGTTGCCTTTAATAGTAATGATATCCAAGTAGCTGTCATTAATAGTAATGATATCCTAGTAGCTGTCATTAATAGTAATGATATCCCAGTAGCTGCCATTAATAGTAATGATATCCCAGTAGTTGCCTTTAATAGTAATGATATCCAAGTAGCTGTCATTAATAGTAATGATATCCCAGTAGCTGTCATTAATAATAATGATATCCCAGTAGCTGTCATTAATAGTAATGATATCCTTGTAGCTATCATTGATAGTAGCGATATCCCAGCCTAATTATGACCATTACAGTGTCACTGTCCATGAGGTGACCTTTAACTCCCCGCCCCCCCCCCCACGGGCCATGCACTCCCTGGACACGTAGTTCGTAGTTCCTAAACTGGTCACAATTAATATATCATGCTTTGGCCTCGAGCGTTAATGATTATCTCAAAGGTATTTAACGGAGGGAAAGCGAGGTTAATACATTTTATGCATGAATTATGTTATTTTGATGTATGAATTATATCTGCTGCGATCTTATAGGTAAACTATGGTTACTACGATTCCTGGAGTCAGAAAACTATAGTTAATAAATGTGAATGTATGGCATTAGAGTTTTAAAAAGGGCGTATGTAGTAGGAATTAAGTTTAGGCCGGTAGTGTGAAGGCGGCCTTGGAGGACAACCGTTCTGTTGTGGTCAGCAGCTGACGTCCTCGCCGCTCAGGTATTTATTTGTTGATGGGGTTTTGTGTTTACTAGGAAGCACCGCCACATCTCCAGCAAATATAAGAAACTTTATTGAAGCTTGCCTTGTTTTAATTTTGTTGATGGACTGGGTGGTGAAGTGTGATGTAGAGTGTTATGTGGCCGCCAGTGGTGAGTGATGAGTCACAGCAGACACACATGAGGACAGCAGAGTCGCCGGAGCAACTTGGCTCGAATATTTCCTGCTTGAGCAGAGGGTAATTATACGGGATGGAAGGATGGATGCACAGTGAAATGGAATTGACAGGGTGGACAAGGATGGATTATTTAACCCGGGTGGCACAGCACAAGGGGACAGGTGGAAGCCGAGTACCCAAATGAGTCACAGAGACATTAGAAAGAACTTTTTCAGTGTCAGAGTAGTTAGTAAATGGAATGCACTAGGAAGTGATGTAGTGGAGGCTGACTCCATACACAGTTTCAAATGTAGATATGATAGAGCCCAGTAGGCTCAGGAATCTGTACATCAGTTGATTGACGGTTGAGAGGCGGGACCAAAGAGCCAGAGCTCAACCCCCGCAAACACAACTAGGTGAGTACAGTGACTTAAATCTTTGAATGTTCGATATTAAGTAAGGGGGCCCAAGTGCTGTCTGGGGCTTAAGTTTGTTATACAGTAGTTCTAATAGCTGATTTGTGTTGAGTAATTAGAGGATGTAGATGATTTTGGGTAGTAGAACTCCAAGCACAGATTACCATAATTGAGATAAGGATAGTGTGTTTCATACACTCTGGATGGAGTTTCATACAAGTAAAATACCTTCTTTAATTTCAGGTTATCTTACCATGAAAAAATACCCACGGTCTCAGCTATTTAACTTTGTAAAGAAGAGTGCTGCAGTCTTATTGGCTCTTGAAGTGGGATTGTTTGGTGGTGTTTACTATGTTTATCATCGCATGAATACAGACAGGGGTATGCAAAATCAAATACTGTACTGTATATGTATATTTCACTAATTGTTCTAACTAAAATTTTCTTTTTTTATAATTTTGAATGTACTTTATGTACAGTATTAAAATGAGGAATATATGAAGCATTATTTTAGTTTTGACTTATGTACTCTTTGAATGGGTGTGCAAATACAGTATTGTTTATTATGAAATAATTTACATTGTACTGTATATAGTAAATAATAGAATGTTATTAATTTTTCAGACTTCCGATATTACATGAGCAACAACTACAGTTCAGGACTGGAAGGTAAATACTATTGGGGTCAAGTAATAATATCAGGTTTGGTTAGATTTGTATGGGAAATATTAATTGCTAAATGAAGTTTGCAAAAGCACCTCTAGTACAAAAAAATAACTTTGCACTGTTCCTGGATAGTAAATTGGACAGAAGAGGTTTTTCCTATGAATTGCTCACTAAACTGTTCATCTCCATGTCTTCTTGAGTAATAGTGTAGAGAGATGTAAATTTAGTTAAGATTGTTTTGGAAGTGTCCCTGTCCATTTATCCCTGAATAATAAATGTAACTAATGATCCATGACCATTATGGACCAAAGCAGGGAGAGGTCTATGCTTAGTCATGTCAGATTAGCACACTGTACTGATACAGCTGGAATATTTTTAAATTACTGTATCTGCTGGGTCATATAGATGCTTGAGAGACACTGAAGAACACTCAATTGTGCCTGAAATGGCTACCAAAATCCTTATTCCTGAAACTGAAATAAATGACTTTTCAAACACTGTCAATCCAGTGACTCAATTACTGCTCTCATATGCTTCCTGGTATGCTTTTACTAATTACACCAGACCATCCTATACTCATTACACACTGAACTAATATAAACCCTGTACTCTTCACACTCCCTTTATGGGCTATTCATTCCCATGCCACCTCTTGGGTGGCTTAATCTTCATCAGTCATCTCACACACTATAATTACAGTGTGAGGTAACATTTGTATCTCCTGTTCTCATTATACTGTACCACCAAGTTTTATCCCAAAATGTGCTGGCCTGGGGGATATCTTTCTTGATTACCCTCTTATCATCACAGCATTAGCTCATTTTAAGAGCAGATCAAAAGTGCAGTACTGTACAAAGGCTGAGTGGTTTTAAAACCAACAGTTGACTCAGTCAAAAGGATGTGTAGATTATCCCTGAAATTTGTATCTTTGTGACATTCATTATATGGTGTTGCTCTAATCCAACAAGCTGTAATAGAGCATGCTATGCCAAGTGTTTCATCTGCTGCTTTATATGTTAGTACAGTACTGTATGCTTCTAGTACACTAGCCCAGTTACCATAATCAAACAGTACCCAGGCTCAAAACTATCAAATAATTATATATATATATATATATATATATATATATATATATATATATATATATATATATATATATATATATATATATATATATATATATATATATATATATATATATATATATATATATATATATATATATATATATATATATATATATATATATATATATATATATATATATATATATATATATATATATATATATATATATATATATATATATATATATATATATATATATAATATATATATATATATAATATATATATATATATATATATATATATATATATATATATATATATATATATATAATGTATATATATATATATTATATATATATATATATATATATATATATATATATATATATATATATATATATATATATATATAATGTATATATATATATATTATATATTATATATATATTATATATATATAATATAATTTATCTTAGTAATTACTAAATTCTTGCTAATCATAACCCCAGATCCCTTTCACAATCTGACTTCGCAATCTCAACACCATCCAGCTCGTATCTTGTAACTATCATCATTACCTAGCCTCAAAACTTTACATTTATCAGCATTAAACTGCATCTGTCAAAGCTTTCAATACACTGATGATGATGATTCTTTTCAGTATTTTATAGTGTTGGTGAATTTTTCAACAATAAAGACCAGACAAGACAATTTGATCAGCATATTTGGTCTAAGCAGTTTCCAGCCATTCGAGAGAAGCAGGAAGAATCTGTAGCAAAGCAGGAGTGAAAGCTTTAGCATATATTGCCAGAATTGTAGCTTGCAATAGCTTTTCAGAGGTAAGAATTTGTGGTATGATATATGTTCATGTAAAATTCCAAATTTCTTAATGTGCATAAATAGTGATTATTTTTCATTATTTATGGATTTAGGTTAGATTAAGAACACTTAAGTGTAACGTAAATAATTTTACACATTGCTATATTCTTCATTTTCATTTGGCTTTGGAATTTTATTTGCTACTGTCATTTTAATCTTTTGTTTTATTGTATAGATTATTTGTAGCTATCAACGAAAAGCAGGCAACAAGAGAAAGGGACTTGTTTGACAGAAATTGGCAGAGGCTAAAAAGCACAAAAAGAAACAACTGGAACCAATATACAGTAGTAAGAGAGAAAAAATAAACATGTGAGAAATACAAATAAGCTCATAACTAATATTGGCAGCAAAAAGGAAGGAGGAAAGAAATTTTAAAGAGGAAATAACAGACAAATGAAAAACATAATCCATCCAAGAATTAGAATTATTATATAGATGGATTATGAGCTTATAGGGAGTTATAGTATTCATTAAAAGTAAATTTTGTGGAAGATAAAATCCAGAGTTTAAAAGTAGGAAATATTCACCGAGATAAATAATTACAGCATGTAAAACCCTGAATGAACGGTTTGAGTTATTCAATAGGTACAGATAGCATTTCATTTTGGTTACTGAGAATGTGTATTCATATGCTGTGCAAATATGGAAACTCGGTCATGAAATAAAGGCAGATTAAATACAAAAGGTTGAATACCTTGGAAACAAATGTAATGCTGTACTGTATTGGTAATCTTCCACTGCTATCAATTTTCTATTAAAAAAGATGGACTTTAGCATGAATTGATCTGTTGATCTGAATTGAGTAGAGTTTCATTCTCTGAATTGAGTAGAGAAATTGATCTGAATTGAGTAGAGTTTCATTCTCCAGAGTTTTTAGTACTATACAAAAATTCTGTCTAGGGTACTTGGTACTTAGTGTCTCCCTGCCTAACATTGGAATCTTAGTTTGGGAGGAACAAAGTGGGATAACTCGGATATAAATATTTTGAGTGCTCATTCCATTTGCCTTATATAATAGTAAGGTAATATTTTTTAGGACTTTAAATTTAGTTTATCAATGAAGTTGTAAAAGCATTATTGGCATTTTTGGATTTAGCTTACAGAAGTGGTAGACATGGCTGCTATGAAGAGTATATTCTACTTGGGGGGCTTCACCTTTGCAGGATATTTTCTGATGAAGATGGTTGAGCATGAGCCTGAGACACACCACAAGGTTAGGCTATTTTCCACCAATTTTTTTTTTGTGGAATGCCTTTGGTAGTGAATGTGGTTAATGCTGACTTATGAGAGGGAGGGTTTTAATAATGAGGAAATTATAAGTATATATTGGTTTGTCAGTATGTAGCAAAGATAGTGGGTATTGGTTTGTCATTGTGTTTTATTGGGTCAGATTTTGCTACGGGATATTGTCACCCGTGCTGGCTGTGTGTATTGAACCATGTGTGTCTGCCTTTGGGCTAACATATAGTTTGAGTTTACCCGAGGACCACTAACACTAGTGGCCTCGATGAGACAGAAAGCCGGTGGCTTGTCTATTCTACCTAAACATAGTTGCAAGATAAGAGCTGTACTTGTGACACATTTTATATTTTATTTTTTACTTTGCATTATTTTTTGCATTGACTAAAGAATTCTATATATAGTCTGCAATTTTCTGTGACTCAGTTTAAGAATGGCTTCCTTATATTTTCCTATTCTTTGGTTTCCTTTTTTTTAAACATGTGGCCTCAGGTTCTGTTTACTTCCACATGTAGACTCTTCTATCCCTAATATTATTTAGTTAAGCCCCACTAGTTTTCCCTGGAATATAACCCACCAATTTGTTTACAACCAGGGTACCTAATAAATAAGTGAAATATATCCATGTATGGTCCATTTGCAGGAAATAGTTGTCACTCAGTCCTTTGGAGATTATAAAATTAAGACTGAAGGTCGATTGTTTCAGTATCCAAAATTATTATATGTGTGTAATTTTCTTAAATTGGTCCACTAGATCAGGTAGCTGCTAGGTACTTTTGATGTCTAAATATTTCTCTCTTTGGCAGAACATACCCGAAAGACAACAAAAAAACTATGAAAAGGTACCTCAAAGCAACACTGCTGCGATTATGTTTGTGCTGAAGAATGCTGCAGCAGGAGATGACCCTGAAGTAGCTGCTAGGAAGGCTCGAGAGCTATATCTGGCCAAGTCTGAGAAGGATTCGTGAGATTTCATATCTCTTTATTTGTACAGAATTTAGTAATTGTACTGTTGAGGAGATTGCATTCAGGTTAGTGTTTACAATTATTGAAAATAGTATTTTATTGCATAAAGATAAGTGTTAGAACAATGGATCCATCACAGTCTTCTACTTATGCCTTCATCTTGGAACGTATGAAGCAGAGAACTGATGACTTAACACAGAAAGCGGAGGAAAGACGTTCAGAGAAAAAAAGTAATGAAGCTGTATCTGAAAATGCTGACTATTTTCATAAAACTTTCCAACTTATGAAGAAAGATTTGGAAAGAAAGACTGAAGAAGCAGAAAGTGTGAACAAAGTTGATTTAATAGCATACTTTGATGACTTGGTAAAGGATTTACAACAAATGCAACAATTTCTCAATGAGTCATCAATGTTCTTGGCTTCGTTCCAAATTAAGAAAGCCTTAGACGAGATGAAGGAGTTGAATGATCGTATTCAATGTGTAATAGAGAAGCGACAGCCCAAGAAAAAGTTTGGTTTTGGGAAGAAAAAAGTTTCAGAGAAAAGTGGAAAAGCCAAAGATGCTAAGATAGATACCATTGATGGCAGCACATCAAGTTACAGTAATACCTTAAAAGAGTTAATTGAAAAACAGTTTTTTGGTTTTAAAGATCAGGTAGATCAGACACTGACAATGTCTGCAAGTGAACTGGAGAACCGGCAATTAAACCTTCAAAATCTGCAGAACTGTAAAGTTATTGCTCTTGGAAACCCAAGCACATTACAGGTGGCTTCACTTAAGAACTGCACTGTGGTTGTTGGCCCAACTTCAAGATCAGTATTTGTTAAAGACTGTATTAATTGTAAGTTTGTCATTGCTAGTCAGCAAGTTCGCATTCATAACACACAAGACACACAGTTTTATCTGCATGTCACAGGAGCAGCTATAATAGAAAATTGCCAAAATGTTCAGTTTGCCCCTTATAACCTTAATTACTCGGAACTAAAAGACCATTATTGCCAAAGTGGTTTAGATTTTAATACCAACCAGTGGAATAAAATTGATGACTTTCATTGGTTGAATGAGAATGAGAATTCCCCGAACTGGACCATCATTCCTGAAGGCAAGAGGATTGATAACTGGTTAAAGTAAATCATTAATTCACCAAAAAAGCAACAAGGCTTGATTTTACAAAATTTTATGTTTTTTTAGAAAATGCAAATGTTTCTAACATATATATATATATATATATATGCACTATCACAAAGTAATATACATTAATCATAATTGCTCTAAACTGCATTTTTATGATTATTCTTGGAGTGAAAATGAGTATACAGTACAGTATATAGTTTGCAAATAAGCACTTAATTAGGGCAGTGCTGAGTTGGGAATCTATTTAGACAAGATAAAACTTGTCCTTTCCTTCAATATGGAAAGTGATGGTGATGGCTCTTCCATCACTCATGTATATTTTGGCTTAGTCTGCACATCATTGCTTGAAGTGTGTATTTTGTGAATTGATAACACAATAGTTTTTATTAACAATGCATTGCCTGGACTTGTTATAATCACACAATATTTGAAGCTGTGATATTTATAATGGATATTGGATGTGATTTTAATTACTGTACTGTATATAAAGCCTTGGATTCACTAAAGAGTATTGTATATTAGAATATTATGAAGTTGCCAGTCACAAAAAGGTCGAAGAATGTGTAATAACCACTGACCAACCTAAATATTTAGATGCTGTAAATGATTGCTGAAAAAAAATATTTTATTCTCCGATGTCTTATTATACACCCAATACTCATATTGGTTAATCATAATCGATTCAAGAATGGGATAAATTTGTTAATAGCAAAGAAGTCAGTCTACAATCTTTATAATAGCAGTGGAAACAGGCTGGAACAGTACTCGTCTAATGAAACATTGGATGTATTGGAAAGATTCCAATTTGATAAGTTAAAGGATGCAACGGTATGAGAAATTCCTTCTATACAGGTACCGTATGAGATTATTTTTTTTACAAAATTCAACCTAATATTAATATTTTATTTTTCTAGTTAGAACACACTTCTGTGTATATTTTTTGTATATGTAACTATTATTTCATTAATATTTACATAATGGTCACTATGGTTTATATTAACTGGAGGAACAATCTGTTTACATTCAAGCTTGTTTCCACTGTACAGTATTGGACATCATTATTATTTTCTGAAGTGTTTGGATAATTTTTTTTTAACATTCAATTGCATGTTAAAGGAGGGTAGAGTATTAAAGTAAGTGTGCTGATAGTTTAACATTTTGTCGGATCAACATCATTGTATGGTGCAAACTTCACAAGCAACTTGTAGTCTTGCTGAAGCGGAGTAGAAGTAACTAAATTATAATACATTTCACAAGTGCATGTGCTTTGGCTAAACCATTTGTTCTATTATGCTTTTGGAAGACAATATCAGACAGAAATCACATAAAATGTACTCTTAGTTCCATTAATAATTGTAATATTTACTGTATGTCTTCAGAAAAAAATAATGTCTGAAGGATTTAATAGAAATTATAAACAAGAGTAATTATGTTAATGCAGTGTCAAAATCTGTTAGTTCTATAAAGCTAAGAAAATGCTTTGTTTACTTCTGACTAAAAAAAGTGTTAATTGCTCATGGAAGCCAAGGATATTATGTACTTAAATTTTGGCATGCAGTATCAGATAGTTAACACTTTGGTGCACCCCGCTCGCCACCCCTCAACTGTGCGATATGGGACCCAGGGTGTCACGGGAGTGCGCGTAAATTCTGAAAAGTGTATACTCTCTTCAACTTTGTCACCTTAATTCTCGTCCTACGAGATTAAATTTGGTATCATTGTGTTCGCAATAGAATTCTCTACAGCACTAAATGCATATAAACTCCAAAAGCCCGGCTAATTACCCGCAGCAAACAGAGAAAGTGCGAACGAGTTACCCAGGAGCGCGCAAACGCGATAAAATGTTTTCACTATTTTCACTCTGGTCACCTCAATTTTTATCCTAAGTCTTTCATTTTGGTCTCAATGGGTTCGCAATAGAATTCTCTAGAGGAACATTAGCATATAAAATAAAAAACCTGGTCACGCTCCAACCGCCGACGAGTTGAAGACGGGCCACGCGTTAGCCGCGAGTGAGTGCTCAGCCGCCTTCCAGCTACACTCCCAATTCCCGCCCTTTTCAAGCCTTTCTTTCGCAATTTTCTTCCTGGAAGGGCCTTGTTCATGATCACTATCCATCGTGGAGTAAGCGTAGATAGTTTCTAAAGCCGCAGTAAGAAATATAGCCACGGAAAATAGCCGAAATGTTCACACGTTTGAGATGCGAGGGGAGGCGACATTGGTCACAACAGTGGAGCGAAAACAATGGGCCCACGGCATGTGCCAAGCTGCCTGAGGGCCACGAGGCTCAACAAAGAAAATGGGAAGACATCGGCGCGCATTTTAAAACCAGTCCCAAAAAAATCGGATAAAAACCTGATTTTTGGCGATTATTTAAAGTGGATGACGCAATGCTGCGTCATCCCCGGAATTACCGCCAGTAAACGGATGCGTCACGGGCAATTATACAGTATAATTAATTTAATTATACAGTATAATTAAATTAATAATACACTGTTATTGCCCGGGCGAAAGTGTTAATTTTTACAATGTATTGTACTGAACAAAACTAACTAAATGAAATACCAGTGTACTGTACGTCTTATTTTCAGTTTGATTTACTTGCTTTATTTAACCGTAAACTGAGGACTTCACATGCAATGCTTTACTATGTTCCTAAAATAAAATAAAATAAAATATTTAATGCCCATTTTTTTTTTTTTAATATATTTTCCAATTATTTTCATATAATAATCTAAGACATGAGTGGCTAAATGACAACCCACATCTTGAGTGAGAAAAAATAAATGGCTGCCAGTCAGGAGGAGACAGGGATCTGATGCTCCAACAAGAAAGTGGCAATGGGCTCCAACAAGAAAGTGGCAATGGGCTCCAACAAGAAAGTGGCAATGGGCCCCAACTCTCGGTGAAGGAGCTCACGTTCCCAGTTTAGTTTCGTGGATGGTTATCCCTAAAACTGTTATCCCCAATGCAGCCACTGTGTCTGTTGCCAAAAGCTGAAGGCATTTAGGAGCACTTAACCAGTGCTGGAGGCTGGGGAGCCAGGCAAGACTAGCACTTGTAAGATGTGGATCACTGACCAAGGCAAGAGGAGGCAGAACAGTAGACCCTCTTGATATTTCTCAAGCAGTGGATCAGACTCGATAGTCTTCCTTGTGTGTGCTCAGTCGCTCTGCCGACCGTAGCCCACAATGAGCCACTGCCTTGTAAGTTTCTGTGACACAGTGGTAGCACACCCTGCCCTGTGCCTCAAGTGAGTTTTGGCTGGGTTCAGGTTAACAGGGCGGGTCGACTGAACTTATTTTTGACTACTACTGTTAATCTAGCAGTAATTGTGGACCATGTTGTAAGCCACTGGGCAGGTTGTGTTCCAAGGAACATTAGTTGTGTAAGGCTGTCTGAAGCATAGTAATTACAGCAATAATTTCACCATGCAGCAACCAAAACAAGACAGTGCACTTAAACTTATGAATTGGTGAAAAAATGCAAATGGATTGTCAACTCATTGCAAAGCTTTGACAAGGCAACCAAGTCCATTAAAGCACTGACAGTACCCCAGGTCTGGCTCAAGAAGAGAGTGACCAGCCAAGGAAACCCAAACTGCTTCAGTGAAGAGAGCCATTGTTGACATTGACACTCGCAGTCGGTGTCAATTTTTGTTCCACAAGAACAAAGTAAGGGTTGCTCCCTCCTGCAACCTGTTTTCACAGTAATGCTGCCACTTAATGGTGGTCAGTATAGTTGGTAGATGGATATTTGTTCTTAGGTTCAAAATAATCCTTGGCAAGATTTTATATTGTCAAGGAATTTTTTCGAGGGAGTTGGCAAGTGGCAACTATATTACCTAGGAACAAAGAGCTTGTGAATTTTACCAGGTACAATATATTTTGAATGGGAAATTTTTGTATAAATGTCCTAAAAGATATAAAAAATAAGTATATAATTTATATTTTAAAACTTTCCAAGCATTTCTTACCTGTATACCAATTGGAAGACCATCAGGGGACAGTCCAAGAGGCACTTGAGTTACAGGAAATCCCAATGCATTGAAGATGGCTGTGTAGGTAAAATTGAAGGGGCGAAAGAATGACTCACTGTGATAGGGTACCAATGTAGGGTGACTTGGATATAGGAGAACTCCATTGTCTCCGAGCAGGCGCTGAATGAAAATGATGAAAATATTATTTGTTCATTAAAATGAAAAATATAAAGTAGACTTTCAACTTGCAAATTCAGGCAACACAAATACTGCACTGTTTAATGCTCGATAATCCGAATTATATGGGGCTTGCCCCTATTTGAGTTAACTATACATCCAAGTTAACCAAATTTGTTACTGAGAATGTTAAAAAATGACAAAATTAAGTTCTCGCTTTTGTTTGGTAGAAATCTTGGCAACCTGAATTTTTTTTTTTAGTTAAAGGGTTAAAAACTTGAATGTGAATTCATTCAAATTAGAGTACTAAGAGATTTGGGTTGCTGGCATCCAAATTACTGAGCTGATGCCATATGTATTTACTAAGACTTGCTGAACTTTTAACTCCAAAATTTGAAAAGTACGAGGACAGATTCACATATGCACAATTTGGTGTATGGTTTAATGCCCAAACACCACAGTGTGAATTACTGACTTCTTAAAAATGATCTTTTATTTTACATACATTTTATAAACTTTTTGCATCATGGCACATCCCAAAAATAATGCAACTCCTGCTGCACCCCAAACAATCCTCATGAATGTTGGAATTAAAATTTACTGAAAACCTAGAATATTTTGAGAAAGTAGACACTGCTGCCTCTCTCTGAAATGTCCACAATGTGCATAAGGAAGATGAGGGCACACAACTGGCATAAATATTACTAATTCAGAGTTTGCCAAAAAAAATTAAACAGAATTTGAAATTAACATAAAACTGGAGTAGAGTTTGGAGGTTTGTAAATGTGACGGGGAACAAAATTAGTGACTTAATCACGTCCATTGAAAAAATCAGGGGCAGACTGAATTTGTAATTATCTTTGTATAAAAATAAAACCGAATGCTGTGTGACCTTCAGGCACTATTTTTTTTTCAATTGTTCCTCACTTCAGTGAGGATCTAAAGTGATAAACTAGTCATCCGTAATGTTTAAATATTCAAGCTGATCATTTCATGATTTTCACCAAGTACACTACATCCCTTTACTTACCCATTTTTGGTTAAACAGAATCTAAATAAACCTTACTTGTTATGTGAGAGGGGGAAAGGGGGTTAGTGTTCATGGTAGAATCTTCCTGCAAAACATTTGACTTTGTATATAAACTTAATGTATATAAACTTTGAAGAATAAGAGGCCTGATTGGCACACTATTCTTTTCTCACATTTGTTCCCTTGACATTTTTGTATAATTGTTTTGGTAAATTACAGATCCATTATGACCTTATGTACACCATCACAATGTTGTCATGGACTAGGAAATCACAATAACAATAATACGTTGGGAGATGTGGGGTGGTCACTCGAGGCGATCTCTAGATTGGTCCCCTCATATCCAGTATGGTGGCTGTAGGCTTTTCCCCACATTATACTCATATTTTAAAATATTTGACCTTGTAAATGCAAATAGAATGGTTAAGTGTTTGAAGAGAGAGTTACTAAATTTGTAAAAAAATGGTTTGAAGATCAGGTTGCTGCTTGCCATATTTGACTGTCCGAGTGTTAAGAGCACAATACTGCACAACAGTAGGACAGATGGATGCCTATCATCATCATCATCATTATTGCACAATACTCAAGTGTGCCTCCTGGACATGACTTTAGGTCCATTTAACTATGATTAGGCAATGAAATTTAGCTAGTCTTGAGAGATTTCATGCAGAAATTTGCATATGCTTTGCACTACATTTGATCAATTTTCCAAGCTAACATATATGATAGACATGTGGTATGATATAGAAATCTAATGTGAAGAGAAAAGGTCTTCTTTACTGTAATTATTTTTACCCTTTTCGTAAACTGAATGTATGTAATACAGTACTTAGCTTACTTGCACTCTCATTTGCAGAATTTTCCATTGAGTGTCCAACTGAACTTTTGGCATGGGAGCAGCAGTGGTTTCCTTGCCAAGCAGTACCTTTGTTTGGTCCTTGAGAAATTTGATTTCTCCAACCAATTTGTCAAGGAGCGCCTGAGCTAGTAAGGGTACAGTGTGAAGTGGACGGCCCAGTATGGCTCGTGTTATTTCTGTATACACGTTGATTTCGCCCTGAGAATAATAATAAACATCAGTATAAAATATGATCTAAACTGCCAGTATTCAAACATTAATACACAGTACTGATATTCTTTATTTATGAATTTGCATAAGTATTTTTAGCACTGAAATTATTTAATACAATAAAATTAATGGAGGTGAGAGCTGAAATTTATTTAATATAGACAGCCTTCCCAATGGCAAGGCACCTGATGCCATGGTAGAGTCGCTTGTGGGGTAGCCCCTCAAGGTTTTTTTCTACTTTACCATACCCAAGAATTGGTGACCACGCTAAGCTATTTTTGCCTTGCTACCTAAATTCTGGACTACTGACAGCACAGTTAGGGAGTGCATCAGGTGACAAGTCAAAGATATGATTAAGCCACCCTCATCTCACCCACCCAGAATGAGTGTCATTCATTGCTGTGCTCTCTATCGAAGAATGAGGATATTGACAACTGTCGACTTTCAAAGTTGTTGGTATTCAATCTCTAGATGTCTGTGTTTTATGTTGTGAAATTGTGGATGTACATTATTTTACTATAAGACACAGGCATCGTTTTTTTTATTATTACATGGCTAGTGAGGATTGAAACATACAGATAACATAAATGAAAGGATAACCAAACTACACTAGAAGATGAGGAGACAAAATTTTGGTCTGTCCTAGACCATTATCAAGGATAATTGACATGATAATGGTTCATGACGGACCGAAACGTTGTTGTCTCCTCTTCTGCTGTGGTTTGGTTATCATATCTTCAGCCACATTATTGTGACTCGTCGTCTGTGTATAAATTAAAGATTTCCTAGAAAAATGTGGGCTTTTCAATTATAAGAAACGAGTGCAAACATCCTATCCAAGGCTAACTCAACCTCATTTTGTATATAACATCTAAATAGCTTGCCCAGTTGATCGACAAAGTAGTGTATGTTTATCTCGGTAGCCTTATACACATTGTAATAAATCTAACCTTATTGTCTGCTAGTTGTTTAAACATTGGAGTCCAATCTTTTTGCTCTTCATGGAGTTTCTCTTTCCACAATTGGTAAGAGCGTCGCATTCCAGGGATGATCACCTTGAAATAAGTGATACATAAGTAATTTTCTTTTATAAGATCATAAAATTAATATTAAAATATCAGTTACTCAACCAGCAGTTGTTGTTGTTATAGATTCAGCTACTCGGAACAAGTTCCAAGTAGCACGGGCTATGGTGAGCCCATAGTGGACCTACCTGGCACAGGAGCGGTGCTGTGTCTGCTCAACCACCAGTAAGCTCTAGCCTAAATATATCGTCCAAGGTCAGGTGATGTATTTGGGAACTGAAAAAGATACACAAACTCCACAAATAGTCAGAGGAAAGACATTTATTTTCAATAATGATAAATGCAGTATCTTACATGTAGAACATAATAAACCTGTCATATCAATACCACGATATTTGATTGATAAAGAAAAGCACTCGGAAGTTATGATCCAACAGGTATTGAAAGCTGCTCTGCAAGATATAGGAGCTCCAATATAAAAAGCCAGCAGAAAATAATGAATACGGTAATTAAACAAAGCATTGACTTGAAAAAATAAAAGATTATTCAACTGTATAAATCCCCCGTGTGCCACATTTGGGCTATTTGTATCCAAACATGGAGACCTTCTTCTAAAAGATAAGTGGTTTGACAACAGTTCAGTTCAGAGCAACAATTAAAAGGCATCCTAGAATCAAGACAACTTTAATACCAGAAAAGGATGATGGCTTCACGACTTACACTACAGACTAGACACAACAATGCAAGGCAATAAAAAAAAAGCTCTAGCAACAAAATGCAACCTCGGGAAGAAGTATCAGTCCACCGGGAATCACACATTACGTAATGCTGTATACAGAAGGGCATTAAGATTCAGCAACCTTGGGAAATCAAATCAACTACAAAACTGTATATTTTATTATGCACCACATAAACCATCCTGTGGACAGTGGTAGACCCCATACTCAAATTGTGGGTGATAGTGGACCCTATATCCATCTTGTTGGTAGCAGTGAACTCCATACGCATCCTGTGGGCAGTAATGAACCCATACCCATCTTGTGAGCGGTAGTGGACCCCTTACCCATCCCATGGGCGGTAGTGGAAAAGGTTACAGAGGTACATAATGAGCTTAGTAACTGAATTCCAAAATTCATTTAGAAAAGTACATTACAGTCTTGATAAGCTAGTTACACAATTTAATTATAACAACAATGGGCTCAAGAATGACCACATACAACCTCTAAGTTAATGTAGAACAGTAGAAAACAATATATTACATACAATATTTCAGTTTAATAAGGCCTTACCTTACGCACAGTGCAATCATATGTATGCCGGAAGTGTTGGGCAACAGCCCTCTGTACAGCGACTAGGGCATAGCTCATTCTTGTTGTCAAAATTGCATCCCCATCATTTTCCATGGTGAAAAATTGCAGGGTTCCAGGGTTGACCTGTTGGTTAAGTACAAGTGGTTAGTGTGTGGGGAGGGATAGTAAAGCTTGTTTACAGTGGTAGTTACCCTGTATTAATTACAGTAATTTGATTTATTTATTCTCAATTTCACGTAGCTATATATTGGTGTTACTTAAATAACTTTTCAAATTTTTTTACCACCTACTCCCCGATCCTTTTATACATTATATACAGTATGTATAATATAATGTACATATTATAATATGATACAGGTCAAACACCCTGTGAACAGCCAAATGCCCTGTGAATACATGCCAAACTATCATTTGTATTAACCTCCAATTAAATAACTGATTTATAAAAATATAAATTCCTCAAACTTAACTGGATACTTTTACACTTACATGTTTTCCAAGACGAAGTTTGCTAACTTTGTCTCCAACAAGAATGGTCAGGATGGGAGCCAAGTCTTGAGCATGTCTAGTGATGGGACCAGCGCACTGAATCTCGCTGTATTCACTATCAAAATGAATTTTGCAGCCACGGAGAGACACCAAACCTAGATTAGTAGTTCAGGGGGGATGGAAATAATAAGTAGGATTTTTTCTAAACATATATAAGAGAATTTTTCCTAATTAAAAAATGTATCTTTGAATTTTTTCCATTTAAATATTGTCATGTTTCGACTGTGTCTATAGAGAATGTTGAGCAACATGAAAAATTCTTCAACTGGTCCAACTAACAATCTAATTATTGCATGCTATTGGCTATTTAAGCCCAACCACTTGGGCTGAACAGTAGAGCGACGGTCTCGCTTCATGCAGGTCGGCGTTCAATCCCCGACCATCCAAGTGGTTGGGCACCATTCCTTCCCCCCGTCCCATCCCAAATCCTTATCCTGACCCCTTCCCAGTGCTATATAGTCGGAATGGCTTGGCGCTTTCCCCTGATTATGTTGTTGTATTAGCTATTTAAGGCTAATATATAAAAAAAAGGCCTTTCTAAGTTATGGCTTTGAAAAAGTAGAGTAATATGCGTCAGAGTGACGTAAGACTCACCAGTAGTAGGCTTGTGGCCGAAGAGACCACAGAAGAAGGCCGGGGTGCGGATAGACCCGCCGGTGTCCGTGCCCAGACTCAGCGGGGTGCCACACGCACACATCAGAGCGCACTGTAAGCAACATTCTCATTATTATCTTAAATTAATACTAATACATACATTGAGAAAATAATTTGTGGCAATGAGGTAACCTGAACCGGCGTTCTAGTGATTCTCAGACACCTGCCATCACTAGAACTCTGGTTTAAGTCACCTCATTGCACCAAATGATTTTCTCATTGATATAATAATTCATTGTGTCAGGTTCCGGTATTACGGGCTATTCATGCCCGTGCCACCTCTTGGGTGGCTTAATCTTTATTAATCATCAGGTTCCGGTAGTACAGTCTGTACAATCCATCATTAGACCAAGTCCATTCCATCCAGCGGTCGACCCCAAAGATGCATTCTTCAATTTTAACATGCTGTTCATTCAAAGCCAGATTTTTCTCAAATATAAATTAATATTGTTATATACGGTATTAGCATATTTAGGTATTGGTTAGGTTAGGTGTTTAGATTCTGTTGCCGATTGTATTTGTAGTACGTGGGTGAAGCCAGACCACACAATCGATTTAAGAATGGTCCAGGACGGACCGAAACGTCGTCGTCCCTTCACCTTCTAGTGTGTGGTCTGGTCAACATACTTCAGCCACGTTATTGTGACTCATCGCCTGCATACGTGGGTGACGCATTTGCAGCGTTGTTGTTTAAACAAAAGTCGTAAGTGAATCATTTGTTCGAGCGCTCAAACGTCATCAGTTGCGAGTCCTCTGTAAACCGTTTTTCATTCATAAACAGGGGGGTTAGCAGGTGCATGGAATGGATTTTGGCCTGTGCTTATGAGGATGGGCTGCGGGGTTGTTATCGACTTACAATTGACAATTTCGGGTTCGAATCCCAGTCGGGACAGAAATGGTTGGGCGTTTCTTATTACCTAAGGCCCCTGTCCACCTAGCAGTAAATAGGAGTTAATCAGCTTGTTGTGGGGTTGCAACCTGGGGAGGGTCAGTAATTCGACCCTTTGGGGAAAGGGGGAATCCAATATAAGCCTAACATGTACTGTATATATAAACTGCTCGCCTGTCGGCAGCCATATATCACGCCATTGTGATTACATACATTATCATTACACAACTTCCCACCCTCATGGACAGGGAAGGCGTCAGCCCCGATAACATAAGGGTGAGTCGGATAATATTATGATAACATAATGTAATGGTAGGTTGTTTAACTTATTGTTGTTGTTGTTTAAGATTCGCTACTCGGAACAAAAAGTTCAAGTAGCACGGGCTATGGTGAGCCCGAAGTGGACTTACCTGGCACAGGAGCGGAGCCCCTTAACTTAATGTTTATTTGCTTATATATAAAGGTGAATGAGTTCACCTCACCGCCGGAAGAGCCGCCTGGTGTTCGCCTGGTGTCGTAGGGGTTATTGGTCCTGCCGTACACACGGTTGTCGCACTCCCACCACATACCCAGTTCTGAAATGTTCGTGTTTGCCAACAAGATGGCCCCTGAAAAACAATTTTGTATATTATGCTACAATTACCTTTGCAAGAAGATATTCGTGACAATAATCCACCGTATACGTAAAGATATACAGTAGATTAATTTAAGTTTATTGAGCGCAAAGAATTCCTTATTTCTGTGTAATTTGATGTGTTATTTATTAGTATTGTGGAGTTCTGTTTACGATTCCAATTTCGTTTATGATAATTTATTGAAATTTATTTTTACACTCGAACCGACTGATTTTGTTTATTACTGAAGTTGCTAGTGGCAGCTATTATAAGCACCCCATACTTATCCTGTGAGCGGTGATGAGCACACCAAGCTCATCCTGTGAATGGTAGTTTAGTGACTCACCATACTCATCCTGTGAGTGGTAGGTTGTTGTGCAGTGACAAATATATTAATCTGTTACTGATACAGTGTCATCTGGCTCATGCAGTATCATCTGTCACTGATTTGTCATGTGATTGATACATTGCCATGTCATTGATACACTCTCATCTGTCACTGATACAGTGTCATTCTGAAAATGATTCCTTAGCGGTTGGAATTTATCACAGTTTTGTGATTGGTGTTGCTCTGAATGTCTTTCAGTGAATATACTCACAAATTATACTTCGTTCCGCTACAGATGACATCTTCCCACGTCACAGTGATAGTGGTGAAAATGATAGCGACTAACACAGAGATAACCGTATTCTGTCATTACAAACCTTGAGAGATAATTAGCTCCAAGGTACGGTGAATGCCTCTGATTCAGTGATTAAAGTGTTATCTTAGCTTTACGAATTTGTTATTAGAACCTACCTCTTGATCGTATTCTAGAATAGCAAAATTTGTTGTGTAATAATACAATTCTTGTTTACTTTGTTTTACATAAAGATGCTGAGTTCCATTTCATTCGTTGTTGTATATTCACTTTTCAACAGAGAGCACGAGCGTGTATGCATGTAAGGAAGAGTTGGTATGTATGATTACAGGTCCCCCTACCACCTTTATAATAATAAAAATACTTACATTGATAAGAATGTGCGTACAAAAAACATAAGATGACGGGGACAATTGCAGGTACGTACAGGAGGGTTACATAAACAAATGTGAAACGTTTGTCTCAAACGTTGCACAAAAGCATAGCGTTTCGAGCAAAACTTAGAATTATTTAGATAAAACATTATAGGTATAGTGGGGGCAAACATTGGTGTTTATTCACCTACTGCTAAACCATAAACCCATATGCTCTGTAACCCTGCATATAGACTAGGGTAGCAGCACACTGCTATGTGTACCTAAGTATGTTAATAATAATAATTATTAACAATAATAGCATGTTAATAATAACAAAAAGAACCTCCATGTACCTGCTTTCTTCATCCTGGTGACGACCTCAGCGTCCCGGAAAGCGATAACGTAGTCGCGCGCCATAAGTCCGCCCGTGTGTGGTAACCCTGCAATGTTAGCCTCATATACATTTACTGACTTTCTCTACTCTGGGTAGGTAGAGTATCTAATTTTCATTTAAGACCAATACTTACCACCATTACCACAGAATCTAAAGACCTATCATTCTGATTTTAATTAATATACGGTAGTTCACTTTTTTTTAGAATTACTTTTATGTCCTCGTATTTACATGCCTATTAGTGCAAAACACATGCTCATACTCCACTCTATAAATTCTTATGGCCGAAACAGCACCCTGTGTGTCAGGCTTTAGTTTAGTTCATTTATTATGCACCCCTATACCCATCCTGTGAGCAGTTTACCTCATACTTATTCTGTGAGCAGTGTACCTCATACTTATCCTGTGAGCGGTAGTGTGCCTCATACTTATCCTGTGAGCGGTAGTATACCTCATACCTATCCTATGAACGGTTGTATACCTCATGCTTCTCCTGTGAGCGGTAATATACCTCATACCTGTCTTGTGAGCGGTAAAGTACCTCATAGAGATTTTGTGAATGGTGGTGTACCCCATACCCATCCTGTGAGTGATGGTGGAAAAGAATATAAAGGCACATAATGGGTAAATAGTGTATAACTCAAATGTTTTGCTTAATTTGTTTGAATTGCCTATTCTACTGAGAGTTTAAGCAGTGTAAATGTGCATTCTTATAGTAAATATATATACGAATATGTGCTCATAATTATAAGCTATTAAAATAGGAACATTGTTTACCGGCCACAGCAATAGTCTCCTTGACCGTGAAGGGAACACCTAAAAATGGCTGGTTCTTCTTCAGCCACTCCTTCGTCAGACTTCCATCGTGAAGACCCTGGGGGAAATGTAACAAACCAGTTAATAATAACCACAAGAAAGAATAATATATAAAAAATCAGGCAATCAATTTTATGACCAGAACATTTTATCAACTATTGTAATAAGAGTTCACAGAGTGGCATTACTTCCAAATTGGTGTAATTATGACAGTACCTGGTCGAGGCGTTCATCGACCATCCTGGCTTGGAGGAGGGCAGACTGGAAGTTCTCCTGGGCTATGGCGTTGAGGATGGGGTTGACGTTACTGATCCTCGTCACGTAAGACCTCACCACCTCTACGCTGCTGACCTGACAAATACCAAGTCTTACGTCGAACATGGAATATACATTGCCTGAAGCTGGTCTTCACATTATAGGCAGGGTGACAGGGACCTAGGGGCTATGGTGGAAAAAAAATGCCACTTAAAAGGGTTTTAGACAAGTTAATGATTTGAGTTTTGTTATATTAGTAGCAGAGTCAGGTCACTATACACCGTAGCACAGTAATGGGGTCAGGCCATTATATACAAAGCCAGTACAGCAATGGGGTCATGTCACTATCTATAGTAGCCAATACAGTAATGGGATCTGGTTACTACATACAGTATAGCTACTACAATAGTGACGCCAGGTCACAATATTTTTTCCATGTAGTAAGAAAAATAAATTTGAAGTACAAGTTTTAAGAAGCATATCCAGTGTCTGTCCCACGTGTTGTACTAATGGTTAAATGTTAGTGTACTGCTTGTTAAGATGCCTTAGTTCCCATGTTCACAGTCATTCACTTCAAATTTGTGACGTCATATAGCATGATGTGTCCACAAGAGCCCACTAAATTGAAGCCTCTAGTGACCGTGGTGTACACAGTCACCGTGTGCTCTGTGATTGTTTTGATTCCTTGAGTTTTTCAAACACTATTTGCTAAAATTAAAGATGGCTATATATTATATTGTGCTACATAGCCTTCTCGGTTTGGTGCCTTCTTTTGATAATTACTTACTATATATTATACTGTACTTTGCAATGCTCTGTATACAAACATTTATACCTGAATATAATTCATGTAACTAAAAACATGGTAGGATGCATTCTTACATATAGTAAATTATTGAGTTGCCACATAATGCAAATGTATTTGCTAGTAAATACCTTTCTTTCTCTTATTTTATCCGCCAGTTCAGAGGCGGAGAGAAGAAGAATTGGGTTGAAGACGGGAGGGAGGTGACTCTTCCTCCGCCAGCCCATTATGAGTGTGAAGACCAGGGTGACCCAGGTGTCCCACACCCAGTGTACCACCTGCAGCGTTGTCCGCACAGCCCACACCACACCTCCGCCCACCAGCCACATCCTCTGCCCACAAACAACAGAAATGAAATCTATATCTATCCAATAGAATGTCTGTTCGTTAGGCTGTCCAAAATTAGTAAGTCAATTTATGGCTAGCCTCACCCAACTTTACAAGATGACACATGGAGGGGGTATGTGAGTGTTATAAGCCATTCGGGGCTCCAGTGCCACCCTACAACAGTTGTCTAACTGCTGGGTACCTATTTACTGCCGGGCATTAGGTGAAAGGAAACGTGCTCAACCATTTTTGTTCCATTCAGCAATCGAACCCAGAATCGCTGTTGCGTGTTGAAAATGAAGCTAACTGCACTAAGAGACCCAATAAAGTCATGTTCTGTACTATCGACATTCAAAATGGCATTCAAAATACTGAAGCAGCCTAACCCAAAATCTAACTTTATGATAAGTTGAACATATTTATTACAATAAAATACAGCATAGCGTTAAATCACTGGGCCACGCTCGACCGTCACATTATGAGATTATATAAACGGTATCACACTATCTGGACCATGCTACATATATTAATGGTGTCTAGGCCTACTTACCAAAAATGCTGAAATAATTGAAGGCACCTGTTGTGTGAGAATGGCATCAGAATGCCTCACAACAAGACAGTAATCAACTCTGTGGTTGCCCCAGCAGTACTAAGTGTACACCCTCCGGGCCGTGTTATCTATTATCAGTACACTTGACATCTTAAGGCAAGCTGTAGACTAAGAGCCAAAGGTCAACAATGGAAGAACAACACTTGTATTGATAGAAAACGAGGTAGGACCCCTTAATGTGAATGTATTTTGAAGATTAACACCACATTTGTTGATTTATAAATAATTAAATCGAGACAATATGAAATTAGGGCAATTACTTCTGTCAAATTGAAAAATGCTTTTAATATTTCAGAGTAATATATCTTACATCACCAGTGCGGATTATAACATTTCATTCACTTGGTCCCTAGGAGCCTCGAACCTCCGTACAGGTCCAGTATATCAAGTTTTCCAGTATTCACAAAATATTTACAGAGTTCAGCATATCATATGCTCAACCTAGTGGCAACAATAATAATTGAAGTGGAACCTGGAAACACAAATGAGTTGAAGAAATGTAAATGCTCATACCATGTACGGATGTCCAACAATTAAATGGAATATAATGAAAGAAGTTGTGGAAGCCACCTCCAACCAAAATTGTAAAGTCAGATTCGACGAAGAATTCGAGCATCAAGAAAATGTAATTATAAAGCAACAGCTACCCCAAAAAATACTCGTAGGCGTGTCAAAAACAGCTTTAGTTAATTTATTATGCACCCCATACCCATTCTGTGGGCGGTAGTGGAAAGGGTTACAGAGGCACATAATGGGCTCAAGGACTGGACCCCACAATTCATTTAGTTACAATCAAGTTACAAGATTTATGATTTTATTTTGTTTTTTAGATTTTTTTTCAAGATTTTATTTTTTTTGCAAGTTACAATCTTGATGAGTTAGTTACAAAATTCAATGCGCATCGTCCCATCAACAATGGGCTCGAGACTGACTACAAGCACAGTTTCTAAATTAAGCAATTGACATATGTGGAGAGCCAGTGTCATAATTGATATGTTTGTCCTGCACTCCGCCCCCCCATCCAGTGGGCAGCGGTGGATAGGTTACAGTCACTCAGTACCTACAATTAGCAAACTGGGGATATTTGGCCGAGACTTCTGGCAGCAGATCATTTTGAATGCCCTCACTCTACTGTATAGTCACTGTTAGGTTACACTGCAGAAGAGTAACTTGGGTGCATTAATGCCAAATGACGAGTGAATGTATCTAGTTCACCACAAATGTAAGTTGCTAAGTTAAAAAAACATTAATTTGGGTTCAGAACCCACCGCATGCAGGATGGTTACAAATTCCATAAATCATAATTAAACTTAAAAAAAAAATGAATGAACTAAATAAGAATAGTGGTGTCAGTCTTTGTGACTCCCATGGCGATTGATAAGACAGCGATAACATGAAGGGCCAGCCATATCAGTTTCCTTTTGTCCACTTGGTGACACAATACCACATGAGAGATGTTCAAACACGCCGCCGCCTGTGTTCAGAACAGGACGGAGGATGGGCCACAGGTTTAATGATTAAGGGTAAAGAAGGGGGAGGCAGCAGCGCTCCGCCCAGTACACGCCCCCCTCACTCGCGGACACTCGCGGTTACCACCTCCCTCACATAATGCTATTATTTCTAAGTTAAATAGAACATTTTTGCCATACTACTTTCATGCATCTTCCGTACAGACTAAGATCACGCATTGCTGTTATATATTAAAGATTATCTACGTTTACTCGACCATAATGCGCAATTCACAGGCAAGCAAGCAAGCAACAATAGTCAGTGAGTGAGTCAACAATAGATGGGTGAGCGGCAGTCAGGAAGCCTTACTCACGTGGCAGCAGCAGGCGGCGACGGATGGTCGGTGTGTGAAGTTGTCTCGCCTCGCGTCCTCTATTTCCACCTTCAGTGCAAGTGAGGAAACACACGTGGTTAAGGAGGAGGTCAAGGAAGATGGAGATGAGTCTTGGAGATACCAGGAACAGGGGCAAGACCGCAATGTGGGCCGCTGGCTGCCTGGTTTTCTTCGCCTTACTTACTCAAGTCATTGCCAATCCGGTGAGTAGAATTTGTAATAATAATAATTATAGTAATTGTAATAGTAATAATAATAATCGTTGCAATATAAATGTAGATTATCGTTAAGTTGAAAATAAATTTTTAAAGATGACACTTGCTTGTAAGGGATAGGCATAAGTTCAATGCTTTGTTTGTCGAAAATTGGAGGCCAGACGCTTAGGCTAGCCTACCCCAAATTGGCAAGGTACTCACCTAGTTGTGTTTGCTGGGGTTGAGGTTTGGCTTTTTGGTCTCGCCTCAACTGTCAATCAACTGGATGAATGGTACGGGACGGACATGGGCTGGTCGAAGTTGACCCAAGTTAATTGCTTTAAGAAATATCAGCAATTATAAACAGCCCTAGGCTACTTTTATGGCGGCTTCATGAAGTCAAGTGTGTGAAATATGGCGGGTGATTAACTTGGAGTTGTTACTCGTAAAGCTAAATAATGAAAACGGAAGAGAAGAGAAAGCAAAGCAAAGCATCTGAAACCATACATTTGTGTCTCAGAATGTTCGGTAATACGTTTATTGTTTGTGATGTGTGTCTATGTATGTATTAACACGTTGTACTGAACGGGGTGAGAATAGCTTGAGCTACCTCATCCCTTTGTGTGTATTTTACCTCAATAAACTTATTTCAATTTCAATTTCATACATCTGTTGCAGTGTTTCTTGAGGGAGAGATAGAGATATAGCTAGATAGAGATATAGGTAAAGAGATAGATATATAGTAAAAGAGGTAGATAGAGATATAGAGCGAAATATATATAGAGATAGGTAGAGAGAAGGGAGACAGACAGACCCCCAGCAACGCCGAGAATCATGAACAAAATATTTTAGTCCAACCAGAATCATCGTCAAATAATTATAAATATTGTTCTTAACTAAAATATTAATATACGTTTCCGTTTACACGTGTATTCATTTGTTATTAAGTGGAGGGCGACCAACCATGGTACGTCCAAGCACATCAACCGGTTTATAGTATGTAGCCCCTACGTGCATATTGGCACATGCACTGCATATTGGCACATGCACGCAAACTCTTTGTTTGGTAAGAAATCCCACCCACACGCACACGCTCAATCATTCGCTCATACATGCTATCATGCAAATTTGGAATTAGCATCTGTGTATCCTATATTTATTTATTTATTTATTTATTTATTTATTTATTTATTTATTTATTTTTGTATACACAAGGTACATTGGGTTTGTGAGAATACATAGCATAGTATTTACAATCTTGTAAAGCCACTAGTACTCGCAGCGTTTCGGGCAGGTCCTTAATCTAACAGATAATTTTAAGTAGGTAAATTCTAGCAGAATTAATAAAATGATAACAGATACATTGCAAGAAAAAAATGAGATGAGAGAGATTAATAAGTATATTAAAGCACATTGGTATATTAAAGCTCTGATTGATTACATTGACAGCTTGATTGGTAATTTAAACAAGATTAATAGACACATAATAGATATATTAGTTTCGTGGACAATTCCTGAATTTACCTAAATTCTTGTCCAGTCGACGGCCCCTTTTTTATTTACACTGTAATCTTTCATATAGAATAGGGTAGCAGCACATTGCTGTGTATACCTAAGCTTGTTAATAAAAAAGGCGCCTTGTCAAAGTACCCTACATTATTCATAAGGATTTTGTCCATTTGCATTTTTTATTTACGGAACAATTAAACCGGAAGTAGATATTAATTGTAATATGAACTATACATACATCATCACTGATTTACAAACGTTAATATGTAAGTAATTTAATAAAGGAAAATGCCACGTCATTCATAAAGGATCGAGCAATATAGATCACAGTTATTTCATTAAAAATATTTTCTTATTATTCCTGATAAGAAAGGAACCTTAGCAAAATAACCCAACAAGTACAACATATATGGACAAATCCTACATAACTATATAAGCCATCAAAGGTACCTTTTAATGTAGGAAAGAAAAACAACCATAGTTATACGTAAATACCTTGTTCAGCCTCGCACTGTTGCATTGATTTGAAGCTCTGAGATAAAGCATCTGTAAAGCTATAATCACTGGAGAAAGTCCAACGCGAGGCAGCTGTGAAAATTGCGAAACTTACCTGGATAAACTGACAAGCTTTTCTACCAAAGTTCTGGCCACACTACCAAAGTTCTATCAAAGTATTGATCACACAGACACATTAAAAAATGATGGGTTTGGTTACATAATCCCGGGCCATTTCTTCACACATGACGCATGCCGGAGGCAACAACCTCATATACGCTTGCAAATTAGGTTGCTAAGCCACACTGCAGAAAACCCCTAGACTACTTGTATAATTAGTCTTCCAAAGAACTAACGCTCACACGATGAGTATGCGATGCACGATGCACTACCGCTCACAAGATGAGTATGGGATGCACTACCGCTCGCAAGATGAGTATGGGATGCACTACCGCTCACAAGATGAGTATGGGATGCACTACCGCTCACATGACGAGTATGGGGTGCACAATGAACTACCGCTCACAGGATGAGTATGGCGTGCACAATGCACTACTGCTCACAGGGTGAGTATGGGGTGCACAATGCTCTACTGCTCACTTGATGAGTATGGGGTGCACAATAAACTTCCGCTCACAGGATAGATATGGGGTGTCCAATAAATCCTGAAAATACAGTTTCTTCATTGAAAAATACCGAGTTTGCTTAAAGCAATAACACTTGCGCCTAAAGGGAAAGTGAGCGGGAACAAAAAAGGAGGTCCAGTCACCCGAACGTCTATGAGAGAGCCTTCCCAGGATAGACGGTCAAATTAGTTTACAGAAATGCTGGGTGTGGCGTAAGGTGTGAGTATGTGTCTGTGTATGTGTGTGAGTGTGCGTCAGGTGAGAATCCTGTGTACTTTGGCTAGGACATGACCTCCTACTGCTAATCCGGTTACGCTTATTGCTGACGTCTTGTATAACATTTACATCACGTGTCAGCGGTCACAAACATTTAATGCGAAACCCCCCCCGGCTCCCCACCCCCCTCACAAGCAATAGGCTCGAATAAACAGAACGCGGGGAAAGTGGCATCCATCATCAATATCACAGAGATGTGTCATCCTGTTAACCGACCTTGTTTCTTTCGTTTTCAGACATGCAATCCTGGAATGACAGGCTTTCTTAATGTGCACCTTGTCTGTCACACGCATGATGATGTGGGCTGGCTCAAAACAGTTGATCAGTATTACTATGGCTGTAAGTATAGAGTTCCGTGGGACAGATTAATTGTATTTTCAATATATCATAAAGTTCAATGACATAAAACATAAAAACATTATATTTTATGTCATTAAAACATTTCTAAAAATCTGTATATTGTAAAAAAAAAAAGATAGGAGGTAGAATTACTAGTTGACAGAGCCCGAGTGCATGGGGGAATTGTGTGAAACCCCGGCAAGTCTTCAGTGGAACTCTTGGGACCCTTGTGGGTACAGTAGTACTTCAGGTTGCATTTTTTTTTTTACCATGTGGTGCAGTCGACTAGAGCGTGCCTGGGAACACCCAGCGCATAAGTTCGAACCCCCCATCAAGGCTCCTGTTGGATTTATTCATTAATATATCACATTAATGTGATTTCATTGTGTAGTGAATTTATATATTGTTAGAAATTTGCCATAAAAACATTTCAACCAATCTATATACTATATTTGAAAATCTTTCGTTTCGGTGTTCGATTTATACTCAAATTGACCTAAACATTGCAGAGAAATGTTGGCTTTAAAATCCTTTTCTAAATGTACAAATGAATTTCTGTTCCTTGCAGCAATTGATATTCAGAGGGCGGGTATTTCTGCTCGTTCCAGCAAAAAGTAACATTCAGAGGACGGGTATTTCTGTTCCTTCCAGCAAAGAATGACAATCAGAGGGCGGGTATTTCTATTCCTTCCAGCAAAGAATGGCATTCATAGGGCGGGTATTTCTGTTCCTTCCAGCAAAGAATGACATTCAGAGGGCGGGTATTTCTGTTCCTTCCAGCAAAGAATGACATTCAGAGGGCGGGTATTTCTGTTCCTTCCAGCAAAGAATGACATTCAGAGGGCGGGTATTTCTGTTCCTTCCAGCAAAGAATGACATTCAGAGGGCGGGTATTTCTGTTCCTTCCAGCAAAGAATGACATTCAGAGGGCGGGTGTGCAGTATGTGCTGGACTCCGTAATACAGGCACTCAAGGACGACATTGAGAAAAAGTTCATCTACGTGGAGTCAGCTTTCTTCTTCAGGTGGTGGGACAACCAAACAGCTGATATGCAGAAGTTAGTGAAGGTAAACAACGCGATAAGAAATATGCAGAAATAGGCTTCAGGTAACAGAAATAGCATGGGCCGGATGATATTAAATTAAAAAAAATCGTTATAGAGATGGTAGTTGATTGAAGAAGACACTGGGGGAGAAAATAAGCATACTAATTAAGTTGCCGTGGATGTTTGGGTGAGGAGGTTGGGATTGATTTTGAAAAGGGAGTTGGGGTGATTTTGGAGAGGAAATGGACAGCTCAGTATGCAAAACTGAGGACTGGTCTAACAGTGGTTTGTTAGAGATTGAAAAATAACGGTGCGGAAGTACGATAGTGGAAAACCCCCTATGAAATAACTAACGAGGTATTTCAAAACATACCTCTTTTGAAATACCTCGTTAGTTATTTCATAGGGGTTTTCCACTATCGTAGAAATAGTGCCTCTATTTCCTCCCTCTCTCTCTTCTTCCCCCCGTCCAATCCCAAATTCTTATCCTGACCCCCTTCCCAGTGCTATATAATCGTAATAGCTTTGCGCTTTCCCCCTGATAATTCCTCCTCTCTTCTCTCCTACTTTGGAGCTGAGAGTTAAGAGAAGGTTGAGGTTGTGATGACTGTTCTGTCTTGAGGCATATATGGAAAGGTGTTGATGTTAGCGTGGGGTTTGTTGGTGAATGTTTCGGAGAAGTTTGAGGAAGATGGATGTTGAGGAGCTAGGATTGACGTTGGGAGATAAGGTTGGGTAGATTTTGAAGAGGAGGTTGTGGTGTATGTTAGTCCAGGACGTTGCCAAGGTTGATAATAGATGATGGCGATGCTAGGGTGAATGTTGGAAGAGGTGTGGCATGGATATTGGAGAGGATGTGGTGTAGATGTCCGGCAAGATCTCTGGTGTGGATGTTGGAGGGGATGTGACGTGGACATTGGAGCATGTATGCTCTAGGGTATGTGACGTGGACATTGGAGCATGTATGCTCTAGGGGATGTGACGTGGACATTGAAGCATGTATGCTCTAGGGGATGTGACGTGGACATTGGATCATGTATGCTCTAGGGGATGTGACGTGGACATTGGATCATGTATGCTCTAGGGGATGTGACGTGGACATTGGAGCATGTATGCTCTAGGGGATGTGACGTGGACATTGGAGCATGTATGCTCTAGGGGATGTGACGTGGACATTGGATCATGTATGCTCTAGGGGATGTGACGTGGACATTGGAGCATGTATGCTCTAGGGGATGTGACGTGGACATTGGAGCATGTATGCTCTAGGGGATGTGACGTGGACATTGGAGCATGTATGCTCTAGGGGATGTGACGTGGATATTAAAGATGAGTTGTTGATGTTTGACAGCATTTGGAAAGGATGTGGCGTGGCTGTTGGAGAGGATGTGATGTGGATGATGGAAAGGATGTGGCGTGGATGTTGGAGAGGATGTGGTGTGAATGTCTGAAAAGATCTGGTGTGGATGTTGAAAATGATGTGATGCTGACTTTGAAGCGTGTATGTTTTAGAGGATGTGGCATGGATGTTGAAGATATGGTACTCATCTAGTTGTGCCTGCGGGGGTTGAGCTTCGGCTCTGTGGTCCCGTCTCTCAACTGTCAATCAACTGGTGTACAGATTCCTGAGCCTATACTGGGCTCGATCATATCTACATTTGAAACTGTGTATAGAGTCTGCCTCCACCACATCACTACCTAATGCATTCCATCTGTTAACTACACTTGATACTGACAAAGTTCTTTCTAACGTCCCTGTGGGTCATTTGGGTACTCAGTTTCCACCTGTGTCCCGTTGTTCACGTACCACCCGTGCTAAATAGTTTATCTGAATCTATCCTGTCAATCCTCTTGAGAATTTTATAGATGGCGATCATGTCTCCCCTTACTCTTCTGTCTTCCATGGTGGTGATGTATGAGAGCATGTGGCATGGATGTTAGGGGAAATATGGTATGGAAGTCAAAAAAGAAGTTATGGTGAAGGCTGAGGGAAGATCGAGTAACCGAGGTGTGTAAAGGACTAAGATAACCAAAATGAGGGAGGAGAGAACGAGATTAAAGTGGTTGAGAGGAAGATATCAGGTGAATGTATGTCAGATGGGAGTAAATCAAGGAATCTTGGATAAAGAATAGGCTACTGCAAGCAGTTATAAACACAACTTCTGTTCATGCCAAGTACGTGTAGAGATAACAAAGGATTGGTGTACTGCACCTCCCTTCAGCTGACTAATTATGTAACATAATAATAATAATAATAATAATAATAATAATAATAATAATAATAATAATACAAATAATACAAAATAATAGTAATAGTAATAAAATAATAATAATAATTTGTATTTAAAAGTACTACATACAAAACATGATACATTGTTTGACTAATTGTTACAAAGTATGTATACTTAATCTAATATTAAAACAATTAATAAAATCACTAATACAGTACACAAAGCTTTATATTTTTGCTTGTATTGTCACTGGTGTAAAGCATGGTTGTTCTGCAGTTGCTTGTTGCCCGGGGACAGTTGGAGTTCATCAATGGGGGTTGGTGCATGAACGATGAGGCAGCAGCTCACTACAATGCCATCATTGACCAAATGACCCTCGGTCTTGCGTACGTAACACTTCTATAATTGCCGTTTTCTCTTTTTGGGCTCCTATATTATTAACACATCAATGTAACTTTTGTTCTTTTAATTATTTTAGATGGCATAGCATTAGAACAATAAATGAACAATGAATTAACATTTAAACATTTATTTTTTTAGAATGAATTAAAAACATGTTATAAACATGTTGTAAAATGTGTTGATTTGTCGATGCTGTATAATATGTGTTCTATAGACATATTGTGTAAGCATATACAAATCTATAATATTTTATGAACTCTTCATGACGTGTACATGCGTGGTGGCCTGGCACACGTGACGTGTGACGACTATATATGATTTGACTTTGTGCATTTATGTGAACACATCAACAAATGGAAATGTTTTCCTACTGGAATAAGTCTGACTTAGACTGTCTGAGGTATTGTTATCCTGTTTGACTGACTGCAAATGCCATGATTATAAAACTTATTAACTTACATGGTTAACTAATGCTACACAGAACAGCAACATTCATTAATTCATAAGTGGCATGTGTAATCTCTTCAGGCATAGGATTTATATAATAGACCTTAGTATACAGCTTTCTGCCTAATGACATGCCCAATAAATAATGATTACAGGGTAAAACCAAAACTTTAATAGCAGGTCATAACAAAAGCTTTATGCAGATAAAAGTTAAAGCTCAGTTTGTTCCATTCACCTGAGCTGTATGGGTCTTGAACCATGGACCCCTCGTGTGTGAGGCCTAAGCTTTATCGACTGGGCTGTGAGTAGTCTTAATAAGGAAAGTTTCTCACTTTGTTATTACTGTATCATAATTTACCTTGTTTCCCTTAGCAAGCTGAACACCACCTTCGGTGAGGAGGCTCGGCCTACGGTGGCCTGGCAGATTGATCCATTTGGCCATTCCCGGGAACAGGTTAGAAATATTTGCTTTACATAACCATTTAAATAGCCTTAAGTGTCAGAGAAAGACATTTAACATTCATGGATGTATTTTATAATTTTCTGAATAGGGTAAATGGCTTACAAAGGTGCTTTATACACCTTGGTAAACCAATTACTGTGCGATGTAGTACTGTACATATAGAAATACAGTATGTACAGTACTGTATTTCATTTTACTTATACTGTATGTGGTATATCAACTTTACAATAATTTCCTATTTAACTTACACTTTCACAAATAATGTATTTGGATTACTGTACAGTACTGTATATGTTTATGTACTCACTGCAGGCTAGTTTGTTTGCTCAAATGGGATTTGATGGACTGTTCTTTGGTCGTCTTGACCATGATGACAAAAGTACCCGCTGGGCCGAGAAGACTATGGAAATGGTCTGGCAGGGAAGCCAAAATTTAGGTATGTTCCTGAAACTGTGCTTTCAACCCATGACTCACCACACTGCACCAGTGTTTTTACTTTTTTTGTACATTTTTTGTCATATATGTACCTCCTCTGTATATTCTAGTTCTAATGAATAATTTTTTGGTTATGTTTTATTTTCTGCAGTCTTCATTAATAAAGTTGTGCAACTATACACTAGGCCATCTATTGATATTTGTTACTACTCTGTTGTCTTCGATTGTCTGTACTGTGCTTGTACTCCCCATCAGATCTGCTTGGGTAATTCCTTCTTTAAGTGATAAAGAACTTTATTTCATCATGAGTGAACTTCTAGTACAGTTCTGGATAAAAAAAATTCTATTATTATTAATTATTATATATTATTGTAGTAAATTAGAGGAGATAACATTGCAGAAATGGGCATAGTATATTGCATAGCATAAGGTGGCATTATATAAAGTACATAATTACTTATGCATTTTGAATAGGTTTTATTTTATCTTAGTTACTAACTTGCAGTTCTTTTCCTGTGCATCACTGGATTCTAAAGGTAAATCAGCTTGGCTCTTCACGGGAGTTCTACCCAATGGCTATGGACCCCCGAGTGGGTTTTGTTTTGACATACTCTGCAACGATGACCCTATCATGGACGATCGTCGCCTTCATGATTATAATGTCAATGAAAAGGTAAACATGTCATTTACCTTTAATTTCTGTGTATGGAAGAATCATTCATAGCCAGTGTCTTCTACATAATTGATGTCTCCATTAATTAGTGCATCACAGAACTAAATAATTGTAAAATAATGCAAATTAATAATGCTTATTGATTAGTATTAAGTATGGCAAAAGGTTTGGATTGCTTTGTAAACTCACTCTAATAACTCCTAATTGTTAATACAATATGTAAAATTTAAATAGAAAGAGCACCAGTGATCATCAGAGCAACAGATATTTTTAGGGAAGTACAAAAGTCTATTATTTGCACACAACACTAGCACTTTGCAAAATGGGAAGGCAAGTTGGGTCATTTGGAATAGGTCAATATGGGCTTTGGAGGAGACTCGCTCTGCTAGCCTTGATTATGCCCATCCACTAGCTGCCCAATAAATGGCCACCAACTAAGTTAATTCTCATATCAGGAATGATTGAAGGCCACAAGGCTAACAACACTGCAAACCAAACATGACAAGGCTGGTCACATCGAAAGTTTTAAAATACGGAACAATTTGGAAGACATTGATCCAGACAACTTCTTTGAAAGGTCAGATATAATACAAACAAGGAGCAACAGTTTCAAGCTCAACAAGCTATAATGTAGGTCAGAAAACAGGAGATGCTTTTTCACCCACAGGGTTATTAAGACATGAAACTGCCAACCCACCAACGCCCTTAATGCCAAAACACTGCTGAATTTTAAAATCTAGCTCGATAAAATCATCAAGACAAATGGGGGCACCATAGACAAGCTGCTGGCTTCCTATCCTAATCATGGCCACTAGAGAGATTGTGCCCCTCAGGTAAATAACCCATATTTCTCCTATTCCCACTTCATGCCTCACCCTTTGGGGTATTCTTTTCCTATATAATTTATTATTATTATTGGTATTATTATTATAGTGCACATTTTCTGACTCGGTCACTTCCATACTGGAAGGCTCACAAGGTTACAACAAAGTTCTTGATCTATTGTCTTACTTGACACTAGAGGATAAATATTATGAAGACAATAACAATGATGATAATTGCATATAATTAACTCACAACTTTTTACAATTATTTGCAGATTTTTGTACATAAAAATTAATGGAGATATTAATTCAAGAGGTAAGATCAATAAGAATAATAATTATAATTTAATTTATAAGATTTTATTTAACAAATAGTTAAAATAATCGTAATTTTGGATCAATTGAGTGAATATGTACTGTATAGCAGTTTTTAGTTTAGCTTCTTATTTTGAATTCCATACTGCTCAGAAAACAGGATAAGTTGGAAAATGTAGTACAGTACAGTGTAAGTAATTTGAAGAATAGTTAAGTACAAGTAATAGGACAATAATACATGCAGCCTATGTACATTACTGTGATTACAGAATATTATTATTCTTATTATTATTAAAAATAGAGTAGATTAGCTTGGAACAATACGGGCAGCTCTTTACTTTACACTCCTTACACTGCTGAACCACTGTAAAGAAAATATTCTTATCTGTATGTCACTGAATTCACATTCTCCAATACAGTACTGAGTATATCGAGGGCTGCCTGTTTTGTATAGAGAGGAAATATGATAAAATAAGACACTACTATTCTGTTCTGAGATGTTGTTGTTGAAGATTCAGCTACTTGGAACATAAGTTCCAAGTAGCTCGGGCTATGGTGAGCCCATAGTGAACTTCTCTACTGAGAATTAAAGACATACAATACTGTATACTAAATTTAAAGCACATGTATACAGGTAAGCACATTTTTGTTTCACCTTGCTTTTAGTTTCTTCCTTTCTTGTCTTCTTTACACTAACACCATTCATTCACATAGTCTATCAGTCTGTGTCATAGCTGCACTATGAATGTTAACTGACTTAATTTAGTTCTCAAATAATGTAAGCTACTAAATTTACATGCAGTATTCTTATACTAATAAGAATATAAATAGATTTGTTAAATGTTAAACGAATTGATGCATTGATATCTAAGTACTGTAGTACAGAACTGTACTGTCATTCTGGTAAAAAAATCTCCATTAGCCTTTAATGATTGTCATCCATTGGCTTAAGAAAATATGAAAAGTATATCCTCATGAGTCCATATACTGTACCTTGATAAGCTAATGAGATATTATTTGGTTATTCCTGCTTAGTAAATCATGAGTCAAAAGTGCAAATAAGGCATTGCTGATGGATTTTTACATGATATATAGTACAATAACTCAAACTTTTTTGTTGAAACTACTGAAACAGTTAACTCTTTCAATCAACTTAAGAATTTCGGATTCTTTAAATCCCTGTGCGATGATTTGCTTCGCCAGGTGGAAGATTTCTTGAAGGCAGCTCAGAACCAGGCTGAAGGCTATGCCACTGACCACATAATCATGACCATGGGGGAAGATTTCAACTACCAGAGTGCTGATATGTGGTATAAGAATCTAGACAAACTCATCAGGTAGGAACCATAATTAAGACTCAAATGACAAAATTAAATGATTTTTATAACTACATACAATGACCTAGCATTAACAGTTTCTTATTTGTGTAGTTCCTATGTGCTGCTTTTTTGCATATTGTTCTACGTATAACTGCTTGCATTTTTCACAGCAGTTGTTTGAATTCTCAGTTAAATCATATTTTAAATATACAGTACAGCATATGATCCCTGTTCCTAGTCACTCTTTTTTTGTCACTAAAATTTCTCACTTGCATGGAAATTCTCTGTACATATGAATTTAAGAATAAAAGAACTGTAGAAGTGTCTGTAAAATTGTTCAAAGCCACCCAAAGCCTCTTAGAATTACATAAGTAAAGAAGAAATGTATATATATATATTTTACTGTAATGCTGCTTCTAAAATTGTAGTACATGAAAAAAACTTAATTTTACTCTGAAATCAAATAATTTTATAACAAAATATACCAAAATTGGTGGTGGGTGACGCCGAAGAAAGTTGACAATTTGAATGTCTCATCAACTTTCTTAACCATCACATACCACCAGTTTTGCTATATTTTGTTCTAAAATTATCTGATTTCAGACTAAAGTAATTTTTTTTCATGTTCTACATATTGGTCTCATTTCATTCAACATTTAGCTTATTTCTGAGTAAAGCTATGTTTGTTCATATTCTCCATTCAGCACCAACATTTTAGTAAGCAAATGTTATATTTTTTCTTTATTTATGCAAATTCTAGCAGGCTTTTGGTAATTCTATAGATCGCTTCAGAAGGCTTATTGGCCTATTCAAGACAGCGAAAGGGGCTTTTGCAGTTCCCAGTAGTCTTATGTCTGCATGTTCTTTTGTTATATTATTTTCATGAGCTAGTTGCTGCCCTAGTTGTATGCTCACATGCTAACTATATGTATCCTCACATTTTTGTTATTTTCATTATTAAAAGCATAAACCCCCCCATTAAGTAACTCGGGCATGAAGTATAGTTCAAGTGCAAGAGAAACAAGCAACATTGTAATAGGATGACATACATCTAAAAAGTGATGAAAATGTATGAAAATAGTGGTTTTGTCAGGTCCTAGGAAGGCCTAGGAAGATTCTTTGAAGGCTTTGTCGATGGGTTCCTGTAGCTCTGGAATGTCACCGAGAGAGCCACCAGGACGAGGCATTTTTATTATATTCAATACTGGGTTTATTTTTGTCTAAGCCTTAAACTTTGTAAAGATATTTTCTTTAAGTAATATAACCCTCACATTTGGCAAGGGTTTCTACATAACCCTAGGATTCCTCAGTTTTGGAGAACATAGATTTGGTGGGATACATTTAGCCACTTTTATACCAACTTCGATTTTGCATGGGTGAATTTTGTTAGTACAGTACTGTATATGGGTTCAACTGGGGTTAACACAGAATAATGTTGCTAATTTACGCTAATCTACAGGTGTTTTACGTTCTCTGGAAATTATCAGACTCAGTCACATGTAACATTCTTCTGTTTTACAAATATTTTGAATGTGCATCATTGCACATTCCAACCATTAGGGACATCATTATGTGCTGAGGTTGTGATGAATGTAGAGGAAGCATTAAAATTATAATGCTAAAATAGGCATTTGATTAAGTAAAAATATTTGAAGAAAGAGGGCCTTTGGTTGTCTGGAACTTAAACCATTTTTCCCAATATAGTATATATAACATCAACTTTTATTTGTAAGTTTTTTTATTTACTCAATATAATTTTTTCCAGGACATAATCCTCCCTTTGAAAATTGAGGGCCACTTACAGTACATGTTGTTATAATTCCTGTTGTCAGTGACAGGAAGCCTATACTTATGTTTATCGAGATCCCCTTAGGCCCACTGTTGATCTTCCCCAGTATGAAATCCACAATAGTTAAGGTTAAGAGCCTGCCCGAAACGTTATGCGTGTTACTGGCTTTGCAAGAACGTAAGAACACCAATGTTATGTGCGCTCACAACCCAATGTACCTTTTTGTATATAATTAAATAAAGTAATTAATAATAATATATAGTTGCCTAACCCCTGGGTACCTATTTACTACTTGGTGAACAGAGGCATCAGATTAGAGGAAACATGCCCATCGATTTCTGACTGGCCTAGGTCCGTTGATTGTGAGTCTAGGACACATCACTGTGCTACCTAGAGCCCTTCTGTATTATATATTGCATTAATTAAGATATGTTGATAGCCTAAAATGTCAGCATTCCTTTACAGTTACATAAGACTTCACTTTCCATTATAACAAATTTATAACAATTATTTATATTGAAATAGGGATAGTCATAAAAATAACCCCTATTGCCTCAATTATTTTATGTTTTAAGGGAAATTATATAACAATTCATGTAGAATGATGCCATTAACATCTACACTTGCACACATCTTAGCATGTTTTACAATTGCTTTGCCTAGTCTCTGTGGTGCAGTGGTAAGACACTCGCCTGGCATTCCGCGAGTGCTTTGTCATGGGTTCGTATCCTGGCCGGGGAGGATTTACTGGGCGCAAATCCTTAACTGTAGCCTCTGTTTAACTCAACAGTAAAATGGGTACTTGGTTGTAAAAACGATTTTTTGCGGCGGGGATCGTATTCCAGGGACCTGCCCGAAACGCTACGCGTACTAGTGACTGTACAAGAATGTAAAAACTCCTGTATATATCTAAAAAAAAAAAGTACTTTTTGTAATGTGTCTAATGCTTTTTAAATTATATTTATAATTTTTTTCTTAAATGCTGCTTATAATGAAGAAAGCACTTAATGGCTGCATCTTGACTATGAAAGATGACCTTCTCGGTCTGCAAGTATAATTTATAAGACATGGACATGCCGGTTATCAGTAGGTAAGTGCTCTCATGTAGTTAGGCACACTGAAGGCCGGATTATACAGTACTGTACTTGTACTTCTACAACTATAAGGTAAGTTCGTTTTATTGCCAGACATCGTATCTAGAATGTATTTTCAAGAGCCTTATATTTTGGGTATTGTAGCTTCAAAAGGCTTATTTGGCTTTTATTGTCAAATTTTGTATTTTGGTAAAAAAAAATTCTGTATCAACAGTTTATAAACTCTATAGTAAATTCTTTAGAAAATAAATTCATCTTAAAGACCAAAACATCCCATATCTGTCTCTGCAATACTATTTTTTGTTTATTGTAGTAAAAGTACGACAGTATTAGTTACCCAATTATTTTGACCTCTAAAATTCTCAAGACTTGGTGCAAATGATTCTTAGGTTGAGAGTTTCCTGAAGATTGCAGAAGATCAGGCTAATGCCTATGCCAGCAACAACATAATCATGACAATGGGTATGGATTTTCATTATCTTAATGCCCATGCTTGGTACAAGAATTTGGACAAGTTAATAAGGTATGTTGAAGCTTCGTAAAATTTCTAGTGTGTTAATCAAGCAATGTTAGATGAGTTTATTGGGGTTCTTTGTAAAAGAGTAATGTCTGAAATTTTCTGTGAAGTTTTTAATCCATGTGCAGATACAGTAATCCATTTAAGATTATCCATAAGATAATCTATTTGAGTCTCACATTATAGTCTTTATTGTACAGTTGGCTTCATTGCCAAGTCACAACTGGGGATCCCAGGTTCAATTTCCAGGAGGTACAAAAAATAACTGGGCACGTTTCCTTTTACCTGTCATGGGACAGGCTTCCTGTCCTCGACAAAATTTATTGTGTGATTTATCAGAGCCTCAAAGTGAAGCCTCAAAGGATTTTAAGTGAATCTCAATGTTTCTTGTTTCAGGTATATTTTTCAATGCTGTACTATATTTTTTATATGTATGAATGTATAATAGGTTGTGTTATGAGAATTTTTCTTTGATCAATTAGTACATTCTTGTAAAGCCACTAATATGCATAACATTTCGGGTAAGTTTTAAAGCTATCCAAGAATATGGCAGTAAATATTAAGCTATAAGGTGAACACTCAATCTTAAACAGATAAATCAAACTAGTGATGGGTATACAATGCAACATTGCAGTACAGCTACAAGCAGTCCCCAACTTATGAACAGGATGCATTTTTAAAAGATGGCGATGTCTTGCTTGTGGAACTATGCATTTTGAAGAGTAGAGAGATTTAATTGGTAAAGGAAGAGGCAATAGAAGGTGATGATACATGGAGGGCAGAGATTGGTGAAGCATCTTCAGTGTCACTGGTTGCTGTAGATAGTTAAAACTTAGTGTCCCTGACGATACAGTAACACCTATTAAACTCAGTCTCAGCAAAATCAGCAAATTTAAAGATACTGTACCATTCGCACCTTATTTTTTCCATGCTCTATTGGAGAAGTTAATGAGTGAAATCTAAGTTCAACCTGCAACACAATGGCTGTGTACCAGAATAACCTGTCTGTAAAGAAATTTCACAATCATTGTCATTGCAGCTGAATGATGAAGAAAAGGACCTTGGGGCTGTGATCCAACAGCGATGTCAAGAAATTTCCAGTATTATATCATTTTTTTCCTTGTAGATTTCCTATAGAGTATGTGTTGTACATGAAATAATGCAATTTTAAAAGTTTAAAATAAATAATTTTTTGACAATCTCATTCTCAGATATGTGAATGAAAGACAGAAAAATGGGTCAAAAGTGAATGTGTTTTACTCCACTCCATCCTGCTACCTGAAAGCTCTGCATGATGCTAACATTACATGGCCAACCAAGACTGATGACTTTTTCCCATATGCCTCTGGCAACCACTCGTACTGGACTGGCTATTTCACCTCTAGACCAGCTTTTAAAGGCTACATCAGGCAGACTAACAATTTCTTGCAGGTAAAGAAACTAACTGTACCAGCAGAGCAGGCATGAGGAATCCTCTTTTTAAGAACATAATTGGTATTTCCATGTTCCATTGTTTAAAATAGGTAAAATATATCTTAGGCTATTACCTAAAAATACTAAAAAATAAGTGGAAATTAGTGCATGTTGGGAATAAATGGGGTATATAAAATTTGATGAATGCAAATGATAAAAGTATATCAGAAAATTACAGATACATAAATTAATTTAAATTTGTTTTGAGCGTATTCAAGAGAAGACTGCTAAAAGTTCAAGTTAACAAAAATAATATACAGATAATTGTGGGGAGGAGAGAGAAACTGAAGTGTGTGAAATAAGTAGTTAAAGATCAATAACTAGTTGTAGGTCAATATATCTACATATCTAGGCTCTCTTATTTACAAAAAAGAAATTTGTTCAATAGTTAAGAGTGAAGTGAGGTAAGAAAGATGTCTTGTTCTATCAAAGTTCTGATGCTGTCAAAGTTCCTGATGCTATGCTGATGCTATCAAAGCTGCAAGAAGGAGTGGTAGTGCTGGCCCTTAAGTATAGATGTAAGATGCTGGTGTTGTGTGAGCATTAAAGTGGAGAGCTGGCTTGCAGATAGAACAGTGACTGTCTATATATGCAGGCGATGAGTCACAATAACGTGGCTGAAGTATGTTGACCAGACCACACACTAGAAGTTGAAGGGACGGCGACGTTTCGGTCCGTCCTGGACCATTCTCAAGTCGATTGTGATGAGGACAGGTAGGGACAGGCAATAAATAGGCAAGAGAGAACTGAGGTGGAAAGTAAGGTGTAAGGGATAGTAGTGATAATGAGAACTGCAGAAGGCCTATTGGCTCATACGAGGCAGCTCCTATTATAACTACCGAAGGAGATAGTAATAGGAAAAAGAAGAGGATAGCAAGGGAGTGTAGGAGAAGACAATGCACAAAAAAATATATATGCATGTCTATATATATATATATATATATATATATATATATATATATATATATATATATATATATATATATATATATATATATATATATATATATATATATATATATATATATATATATATATATATATGTCTATATATATATATGCATGTTAACCGCTATCTCTATAATGGCTGTGGCCAGGGCAGGAAGCTAGTTGCTTAAGGACAGGGGCATGTACATGAAAATAATCATCTATTTTAAAGGCTTTGACTGTTACAACTAACCAAGTGGTAGCAACATGCTAAGATTATGATGTCAAATGTCATATCTCCAGGCTGTCAAACAAGTGTCATCCCTTCTTGGACTTGGTCAGGACTCACGGCTCGAAAGGCTGAAAGAGGCAATGGGCGTCATGCAGCACCATGATGCTGTTTCAGGCACTGCCAAACAGCATGTCACTGATGATTACTCACAAAGGCTATCACTGGGCGTTACAGAATCATTTGAGATGGTAGCAGAAGCGTACAGGTAAGCATGGATGCAAAGTGGTGACCAAATTGCAGGTGGTAGGAGTGTAAAAGTAGATATATAATCAGTCTGTGTCTGCTGAGGATATTACAACTCTTTCAATTATTCACTAATGATGTTTCATTGTCTTTTTATTACATGTTTTGAGTATGAATTTTTAGTTTCCAATAAAGTTTAATAAAGTTATCACTGTACTGATTTTGAAAGATGAGCATTTACCTGCATCATTTTTTAATAAATTCATGAGTTACATTTTG